GGAGCTGTTCAAACATCTCAGCGGCTTTGTTTACAATGTGAGGGAAAACTGCCTACTCAAGCCTCAGTAATGGCAGATGTCCCTTCCCCCACCAAGCTTGAGTATCTCAGGTTGACTTCTGACTGCTGTGCTGGCAGTGAGAATTTCAAGCTTGTGGATCCTAGCTTGCTGTCAGAATGGGATCTGCTGAGCTAGACTACTTGGCTCCCTGGCTTCAGCCCTCTTTCCAGGGGAGTAAACAGTTCTGTCTCACTGGCATTTCAGGCACTACTAGGGTATGAACAAAAAACTCCTCCAGAGAGCTTGGTGTCTGCCCAAATGGCTGCCCAGTTTTGTGCTTGAAACCCAGGGCCCTGGTGGTATAGGCAACTGAGGGAATCTCCTAGTCTGCAGGTTGTGAAGACCATGGAGAAAGCATAATATGTTTGCTGGAATGTAGCATCCCTCACGGCAAGTCCCTCAGGGCTTCCCTTGGCTAGGGGAGGGAGTTCCCCAATCCCTTGCACTTCCCAGGTGAGGCGATGCCCAACCTGGCTTTGGCTCACCCTCCACGGTCTGCATCCACTGTCTAACCAGTTACAGTGAGATGAACTGGATACCTTGGTTGGAAATGCAGAAAGCACCTGCCTTCTGCATTGATCTTACTGGGAGCTGCAGACTGGAGCTGTTCCTATTTAGACATCTTGTCAGCCAGACCTTTTCTTTAACTATTATATTGATGAAAATATCTTAGATTTCTCAGTTATTCCTCATGGAATGGAATGCAATAAAATAGAATGGATAATACTTCTCAGATAAACTAAACTAATAGAATAAGAAGAAGGTCTCCTATGCCTCTAAAAAGTAGTGTTGACATCCAATTCTCAGATAATAAATCTTACACTAAGAAGGTCTAAGAACTTTGACCAAGATTGTACAGTTTAGAAAGTGCAGAATGTGGGAATCAAACTCATGTATGTTGATCTTTAAACAATCTTCACTCCACCTCATCCACCATAACCCAGTGAACGGATCTGAGTAAAGTTTAATTAATGCAGTCTCTTGATATTACATTATCAAAATATCAAGTGGAAGTTATAATAATTCTCAGATTCTTTAAGTTTTGCTTTTTACAGAAGCTCAAGGGATTAAACAGTAATCAGACCACTCTGGCAATTAAATGAATTATCATATTATTGTGGAAAGGACACGAACCTTTGGGCTCCAAAATTCTGGCTCTTCCTCTTCCCATCTCTATGGTTTAGAAAGTCCACAAGATTCAGTTTCCAAAATCAGAAAATTGGATTAGGTTATTTTTGTTGTTGGGGTTCCCTAGGAAAACTCTAACGTAGAGATTAATATGCAAGAAATCTATCAAGGTATATTATTGGGAATAACAACTTGGAAGGAAGAGAAGTAGCATTGGGCAGAAGGAAATGCTGGGCTGCAATGGAGCCTCAATAAGGCCTTGGTCAACTAATAGGAGCTTGGAAGTTGGGATGGCCCTTCATAGGTATCCCAAGCTAGGGGAGGAAGAGGGAAGACTGGGCATTTATACATTTGTGCCAACAGTTAAGATGACAGATGCCTCACTTTGAGCAAGCACTTTTTACCCAAAGCACTTTTAAAAAGGGTTGACTGCTAAGAGCTGACAACACTTCAGCTGCTGGGGAAATAAGTATTTTCCCCTGGAGGGAGAATCTAGGTGGCACAGCAGAGTGCCCCACAGGGTTATCCTATGGCACCTTCCTGCTCTAGTACTCTGATTCTTAGAATGGTGATATTATGACGATTAGATAGCTAACAATGCTAAATGAGAAAATTAAAGAGTCTTCATCTCACTAACCTCCCATAGTAAACAGAAATTAAAGAAGATATTGGGGATGTGGTGGGGTGTTGTAGGAACAAATTTAAAATACTTTTTCTTACAATTACTGGCTTTCTAAGGAAAAACAATCTTAGAGCTCCAAGGAGCGTATTGTCTTTAAACACATGCTATTCAGAAAACCTATAAATGTAACTCAGGAGTTGACAAACATTTTCTTTAAAGGGCTAGAAGGTAAGCAGTTTAGACTTTGTGGGCCATAATGTTCAACTCTGCCATTAGTTTGAAACAGCTGGTGAGAAGGCAACTATAAATAATACTTTAACCAATAGGAGTGGCTGTGTTCCCATAAAACTTTACTTACAAAACCAGGTGGTAAGACGGATTTAGCCCACAGGCTAGTTTGATGACTGATACAACTTAACTATTCCATGAAACCATAGAGTACCATGCAAATCCTAGAATGGTTACATGACTTCCATGTGAATGGAAATGAAACTCGTTTTCTTGTTAAGCCATTTTAAAACTGAATTTTCTGTCACTTGTAATTGAGCCCCCTACTCTGCCTGATGAGATTAAATAAAGAATAAATTACAGAAATTTTCTTTAGATGTAGTGATCAAAGAAAGCTTCCACAAGGAAGAAAAGTCTTAGCCTCTATAACTTAGTGCTGTGAGAAAACATACTGATGGGTGTTTGTGGGTGCAACTATCAGTAGTCCCTTATATGCATTTTAACCTATCCCCTAATTTTAGTTAGGCATGTGGCCACTCAGAATAAAGATCATCTTTCCCAGCTTGTCTAACTTGGGGCTAAATGGGAGTATGTGACTAAGTTCAAGCCAGTGGTATGTGGTATGTAAACAGATGTAGTATAAGCAACTTCCAGAATTGACCTTAGAAGGAAGGGCCTGTGCCCTTCCCATTGTCTCCTTCCTGCGAGCTCAAATATACATGTGCTGGCTGCAGCAGGAACAGCCCTCATGGACAATAACATAAACTTAAAGTAGAGGCCAATCACTGTGAAGACAGGATTAGGGATCCTTGAATTCAGACACCATGTAGGTCTACCAGATCTAGACTGAATACATGACTCATATTGAGAGGAATAGAAAACTTTTTTCCTGTTAAGTTGTGGTTATATTGAGTTTTATGCAATTTGCAACTTTGCCAAACTCAAATTATTATGAAAACTTATGTTAAATTGAGGGGTCCATGAGAATCTCTAAAAGGAAAGGAAATTTAGCCAAGATCTCAAGGACAAAAAGGAGCCAGGCCTAGAAAAAGCAAGAGAAAAAACAGTCCTGGCATAAGGCACTGTTTGTGCAAACATTTTGAGGCAGCAAAAAATACAGTATACGATAGGAACTGAAAGAAGGCCATGTGGCTGACACTTTGTAAGAGAGGTGGAGGATAAGATTGTGGGCACAGGAAGGGCTCAAATCACAAAGGTAAGGAGTATAGATTCTACTTTGCCACTGCAGGATTTTAAGCAGAGGTTTGATACAATTTATGCCTTCCCTTGCCAGCCACCTGGTTTCCAGTCTCTGTTGATGCTACCCGATGCCTGCAAGCAGTCCTCTTGGACAAGTTCCCTCCCAAGCAACCCAGGTCTGGCTCCCTGCCTCAGGGTTCACACACTGTTTCCCTACCCTAGTGACAATACAGTTTTTTCCTTCCACAGCACTCATTCCTTGCCCTGCCAACAAGAGCTACTCTAGCCAACCTTTTGCCTTTAGATTTGTCAGCATCCAGACAGGGATCAATTTGTGTGTTCCGAGTGCCAGAAGATACATGTGAGCCTCTCAAAGTGATTTTCTGAAGTTCCCCTATTTAGCTTAAAGGAGAGTGAAAACACTGCAGCCTTCCATATTTAATCTCTAAAGAAATCCTAACCCTAGAGAATTATTTTATACAAACACACACACACGATTAGCTAAGAAAAGCGAATTTGCTGATAAAAACAAATTTTGGGCATCTCCTTTGCAATACTGGTCTGGCACCTCAGTTAGAATAATGAGTACATTACAGCTATTTTTCTCAGGTTTGTCCCTCAGCAGAAACTCTGAGTCAAAGCAAGTGACATAATAACATCTTTCAAAAAGATTTCTAAAACATATAATTTCCAAAAGATATAATTATCAGTAAACACCAAATGTAACATTCTACTCATTTAATCAAAAATATTTTTAAGAACCTACCATATATGCAGGTACTATCCTAAGTCCTGAGGATATAATAATAAATCTTAATCTTATAGTCTGGTAAGAAAACAGACATAGGCATGATTATCTGCATATATATGTACGAAACCTACGTGTACTCATTGTATGATGTAAAAATGCAACTCAGAATGTTTAGGAAAGGACTGTAAAACATTAGGAGGGCCTGCAGTATAGTCGTTGTTCAGAAAAGTAGAGTGTTGGAAGACGGCCGGGGTTGAGGAGTTTGCAAGCAGGTTGCAGTAGATATCATTACTGCAGTCTTAGAAACACAGCTATGGATCTGTAATTTGTGAAGACAGCAGGAGAAGGCAAAAACAGGTAACTGAGGGAAAAATGCAAGAGATTGTGACTAGAAGCAAGGCAAGAAGCAGTGCCTCATCCTAGAAGAAGCGTGGTAGAATCTTTCTCTCTGAAGGAAGCTGCTTCTAACAGGCAGGCAGACATATTCCAGCTATTTTACCTGTGGCACATTATAGGTGATGACACACTTATAAAAAGTAAAGCAGAAAATAATTTACTTTTCTGGACGTGGAGGTGTTATGATAGGAAGTGACATCACAGAAAGAGTGATATTAAGTGGTATATACAAAGTAAGCAAAGCCCACTAGGTAGGAAGAGGGCAGGAAGACATCTGCTGCCTTGGCCTTAGAGCATCTCATGCTCTTTCCTTTGGTAATAGCCCTCTTTTTTTGCTTTGGACAGCCACCCCTCTTTTACTCCCCATTGTCTTAGAGTGACTGTTAATGCAGGTGTCCTATTCCCATCCCCTTTTTAAATCTGTAGGTAACTTTTCAAATGTGTTAAGAAGCAGAAGGTAAAGGGCACAGAACAGTTTTACTTATTTAAAATAAGCATTTACCAAACCATCTTCATTTGCATAGTGAAATTCTGATATAGGACAGAATTGAGGGGTTGCAAACTGACAGCCAGAAGGCTAATTTGGCCTATTAATGTGTTTTTCTTGATACATACCTGGTTTTTACCAATCTATTTTATAGACAGTAGAGGCTGAAGTGAAAGGATCCCTTGACCTCAGGACTTTAAGAACAGCCTGGGCAACATAGCATGACTCCATCTGTAAAAATAAAAGATGAAAAAAATTTTTTAACTAATATTAAAAATGCTCTAAAAATAAGGTTGTTAGTTAAAAGATGTATAGAGAGCATGAGACCTGAAAGGTGCTTATTATAATTTTCTTTTTTTTTTTAGATGGAGTCTCACTCTGTCACCCAGGCTGGAGTGCAATGGTCGATCTTGGCTCACTGCAACCTTCCTCCCAGTTTCAAGTGATTCTCCAGCCTCAGAAGCTGGGATTACAGGTGAGCACCACTACCATCCAGCTAATTTTCGTATTTTTAGTAGAGATAGGATTTCACTATGTTGGCCAGGCTAGTCTCGAACTCCTGACCTCAAGTGATGCACCTGCCTCTGCCACCCAAAGTGCTGGGATTTCAGGCATGAGCCACTACACCTGGACACTTCATTTATTTTTTTAATGTTTAAAATTTTTTTAAAGACAGGGTCTTGCTCTGTTGCTCAAGTTGAAGTGCGGTGGTGCAATCATAGCCCACTGCAGCCAGGGCTTAAGCAATCATCTTGTTTCTGCCTCTCAAAGTGCTAGGACTATAGGCATGTGCCACCATGCCTAGCACATTTTTAAAATTTTTTGTAGAGACAGGGTTTTGCTTTGTTGGACAAGATGATATTGAACTCATGGCTTGAAGCAAGATTTATTTTTTTTTAGTGTATGTTATTAATTATATTATCTATTGCCATATAATAAGTAAGGCCATGACTTAGTAGCTTGAAACAACAAATTTATTATCTCATAGTTTCTCAAGATAACAAATTTTTATTATATTAGATATATTTATATATTATATAAATATTATATTTATATATATTTATATTATATTTATATATTATATATATAGCAGCAATGTTGCTAAAAGACTTTAGCCAACAGTGAAGTTGGGGTCAGACAGTCCACACTTAGATTGCCCTCAATTTTCACTTCAATTGCAGGTTCAAGGGATTCTCAAAATCACCCTAATCTTTAATAATTTGCTAGAGAAATTCACAGAACTCATTGAAAACTATTATATTCACAATTATGGTTACAAGGAAATGATACAGATTCAAATCAGCCAAGAAAAGAAACACATAGGGCAGAGTCTGAGAAAGTACCAAACTTCTGTTTTCTTTTCACAGTGAAGTCACAATTACTTTCCCAGCGTCAATGTGAGACAATATGCACAGAATACTGCCAACCAGGGAAGTTCACCTGAGTCACAGTGCTCAGCGTTTTAGTGGGTCTTCATTACACAGGCATGTTAGAGTGATTACTCACATGGTTTATCTCAGTCTCCAGGTTGACTGATGCCACGTGACTCAAAGACCCACCCTAAATTACATTATTAATCTTTCAGGCATGGCCAACTGCCAGCCGAAATCACATTTGCCTCTGTGATCCTAGGCTCCAGGCAAAAAAAGACACTCTTATAAGACACGACATTCCAGAGGCTTAGAAATTACCTTTCATAAGCCAAGGGCAAAGGCCCTGACTCCTTTTTGGACAAGATTAAATTCTCTACTATATACTTGCCAGGTCTATTCATCTCAAAGCTCAACTGCAGAAGAATCTGCTTCCCAAACTCACTCAAGGTTCTATGTGGTGCATTTCCTTGTTAATGACTTAGTGCCCTGAACAGTTGTATGAAAAGTCCTCTTTCCTTTTACAGAAAGTTGTTCCTTTGTAAGCAACTACATTTCCCTATTGCTACTCAAGTAGTTGTTTAAATCATACTACCTTACTACAGTAGGTTGTATAAGCATTTGCAATAGATAGCTCATAAAGATAACCTAGTATTTTCAATAGCACAGCACAGAACTAAAAGCCATAACTGAGTTGAACTATCTCAGTGTATCCTCAACAGTGGCCAACTGTAATAATAAGATCATTAGAACTGCATTTAATATTGATCAAATATTGCTACAACGTTTAATCCAATTCTAGATTTAAGAGCTCTAAAGAGGTAAGGTGATATTCATTTACATCTAAGGGATAAGAGGGAACAGTCTTAAACTTTAAATAAGATTTCAATTAAAATCATGGTAACTTTGCTGAAACTAAGACCTTTTAATCATTGGAATATATCACATTAAGTTGAATTTGTGAAAAGTTTCCCTCCTACAAAACATGACATTCATAACACTTTTTTTTACTTAGAGTCTGATATCTGAAAACACAAGAATAGATTATCAGAATGGGTTCACTTATTATTCAACATTCAAATTCTATCATATGTCCTCCCCCACTTTTTTATTTTTATTTTTTGAGATGGAGTCTCACTCTGTCACCTAGTCTGGAGTGCAGTGGCATGATCTTGGCTTACTGCAACCTCCATCTCCCAGGTTCAAGCAATTCTTCTGCTTCAGCCTCCCTGAGTAGCTGGGACTACAGGTATGTGCCTCCACAACCAGCCAATTCTTGTATTTTTAGTAGAAACAGGGTTTTACCATGTTGGCCAAGCTGGTCTTGAACTCCTAACCTCAAGTGATCCACCCGCCTTGGCCTCCCAAAGTGTTGGGATTACAGGTGTGAGCCACTGCGCCCAGCCTGTCCTCCCCTCTTTTACCAAGTAGCTGAATGGTGCTGGAGAAAATGGCAAAACCATTATGACTGAACTCTAATTTTTTGTCACAAATCTCAAATAATACAACACTTTCAGACATTCTTATTATCTTTCCTTAGTAAATATACTTTAATTCTCACCAATATGACAATATCACACCTCTTCTCTAATCTCTAACAATTACTTTTTCTTCTTACTTCCAGTTGATGTGTCATAGAGAAATAGATGAACAAAACAAGAACAACTCAACTTTCCAACACCTAGTACAACACTTCCAGCCATCTTAATCTGTATACTGTTTACTCTTCCTATTACAATAAAAAAATTTCTTGACCCTATCAGAGGTTGATATATCATCTGCATAGTGTATACTATTCCCTCATCTTTTCAATACCTGTTTTCTTGCAATTATTCCCCTTTTGTTCATCATCTTTTTTCTTTCCGTTTAATAATTGCCATAGCCTCACAAATAAGTTCTAACATCTTTTATCTTCAAAATACCATTTCTTGATTCCTATATGTCCCTCTGCCCTAATTTTTATGCTGTAAGTTAAATTCCTAGGTAAAGTTTCTGTATTTGCTGATTCACCTCCCATTTTCTGTACAACCTACTTCAATCAGATGTTTTTCCCCAACTACTCAACTTAAATGGCTTTCACCAACATTAGTAATGACCTATTTCTTACCAATCTCAATGATTAATTTGTTTTATTTTATTATTCCACCTATCAGCAATATTTGACATAGCTTATCCATTCTTTCATTCATGACAGACATCATAACAGACATACCACACACACTTGATTTTTCTCCTGTGGACTAGCCTTATTTTTTGCTTTTCTTTGCTGGTATTTTCTTGTGTACTAGCAAGCTGAATATCTAAACGTTTTGAGTTTTAACTCTTACATTTAGGTCTATGATCCTTACTGAGTTAAATTTTATAATATGAGGTAAGTTCAGTTTTAAGTAGATCAGTATCTAATAGTTCTCTCACTATTTGAAAAGACTATCCTTTTCACCTTTGACAAAAAGCACTTGAGCAAACGTGTATGGGGCCTGTTACTGGATTCTCTATTCTATCACATTGGCTATGTCTAATCTTAGATCAAAAACACAGTGTTTTGATTATTGTAACTTAATCATAAGTTCTGAAATCAGGTACTGGAAGTCTTTCAACAGTATTCTTACTCAAAATTGTTTTGGTTCATCTAGGCCCTTTGCATTTCCATATCAATTTTAGAATGCATTTGTCAATTTCTACAAAAGAAATTCCTCTGTGATTAGGATTTAGATTGGCATTCCTTTGAATCCATAGATAAATTTTGGAAGAACTTTTAATAATATTGAGTCTTCCAATTTATTATTATGCTATCTCATTCTATTTCCTTGAATATTCTTGATTTCTTTTCAGCAATATTTTGCAATCCTTCACAAACAAAATCTGGTGCATATTTTGTTAAATTTTTGTATATCATTGAACTCTGCCACCTTGCTGAACTCATAGTTTTTATAGATATTTGTAGAGATTCTTTAGGATTTTCTATATGAATAATTATGTCATCTGAAAATCAAGACAGTTTTACTTCTTCTTATCCAATCTATATGACATTTCTTTCTTTCTCTTCCTTATTGCATTGACTAGTTACCTCCAGTAAAATGTTGAAAGTGGACATCATTGCCTTTTTCTCAATCTTAGGGAAATTCATTTTTATAATTAATTATGATGTTACTAGCAGATTTGTCAGATATCACATATCAGGTAGGGAGTTTTCTTCCATTCTTAGTTGGCAGAGAGTTTTTTTTTTTTTAATCATGAATGGATGTTGAATTTCTCAACTGTTCTTTCAGCATCTATTGAGATGACATCGTTGTTCTTTTAATAGACTGTTGATACAATGAACTGATTACTTGTAGACATTTGAATAACCTTGTATTCCTAACATGAATCTAATTTTCTTGTCATATGTCATCCTTTTTGTTTGTTTGTTTGTTTTCAGACAGTCTCACTCTGGAGTGCAGTGACATGATCTTGATTCACTGCAATCTCCGTATGCTGGGTTCAAGCGATTCTCCTGCCTCAACTTCCCAAGTACCTGGGATTACAGGTGCACCTGCCACACCCAGCTAATTTTTGTATTTTTAGTAGAGACCGGGGGGTTTCACCATGTTGGTGAGGCTGACCTCAAACTCCTGACCTCAAGTGATCTGCCCACTTGGCCTCACAAAGTGCTGGGATTACAGGCGTGAGCCACCACACCCGGCTGTCATCTGTCATCCTTTTTATGTACTGCTGGATTTTGCTTCCTAACATTTCTGCCTTTATGTTTGCATGTGGTATCAGATTGTAGCTGCCTTTTCTTTGTCAGGTTTTGATAGCAGTGTGGTGCTAGCCTCAAAAAACAAGCATTCAATCTCCTTCTATTTTCTCTACGAGTTAGTATAGAATTTGTATTATTCCTTCCTTAAATGTTTGGGAGAATGTACCAGTAAGACCATTAGGCCTGGAGGGTTTTGTTTGTTTGTTTTGTTGTGTTTGAGACAGGGTCTTGCTTGGATGCCCAGGCTGGAGTACAGTGGCACGTTCACAGTTTACTGTAGCCTTGACCTTTCCAGTTCAAGTGATCCTCCCACCTCAGCCTAAGTAGCTGGGACTACAGACGAGCACCACCATGCCTGGCTAATTTTTTTATTTTTTTTGTAGGGGCCAGGGACAGGTTTCACCCATGTTCCCATGCTGGTCTGGAACTCCTAGTCTCAAGGGATACACTTGCCTCAGCCTCCCAAAGTGTTGGGATGAAAGGCATGAACCACTGTGCCTGCTCTGGCCTGGAGTTTTCTTGTAAGAAGTGTGTGTGTGTGTGTGTGTGTGTGTGTGTGTGTGTGTGGAGAGAGAGAGAGAGAGAGAAAGAGAGAGAGGGAGGGAGAGAGTATTCTGCTACTAAGAAGTGGTGTGTGTGTATGTAGAGGAGGAGAGAGAGAAAGAGAGTATTCTGCTACTAAGAAGTGTTGTGTGTCGGGGGGGAGAGAGAGAGTATTCTGCTACTGTTGGGTTGCTCACCTATAAACGTCAATTAGGTCAAGCTGGTTGGTAGTGCTTTTCAATTTTCCCACCTAATTTTCTGTTTACTTGTTCCATCGGTTACAGAGAAAATTCATTGCTACACTTGGCCTGCCTCACAGTCCATGGACAATAAAAGGTATCCTGCATTCTAACAAGAGTTGGGGGCCCTAGAGCGAGAAGAGGCGACAGCGCGACTGTGGCTGTGAACGAGGCACTCAGTTCATACTCACTGGAGTTAAATCTCTTCCCTTCGGGCGAGCCAGAAGAGAAACCCACAGTCCTTAAATCCTCCTCTCCTCCGCCTCAGCAGCAGTTCCTCTTTTTTTTTTTTTTTTTTTTTTTTTTTTTAACCAGGCCCCCGCCTTCCAGCCGAACGCACCAATTAAAGATACCAAAAAAAAAAAAAAAAAAGTTTCTCCGCACTTTGTCCCAGCTGACAGACTCTCGCGAGAATCGTGGAGCGCCGACTGTTTCCGCGCAGCTGACGCGACGGGATTGGTTGCCGGGGCCCGGCTGCGCCTCGGCCCCGCCTTTCCGGTACGCGGGCGCGCGGTGGCGGGAATTTCGCCTCTTCGCGGTTTAGACTCCACAGATTCCTGGTTGTAGTTGGGGTCTCAGGAGGCAGAATTCGGGGGCTGGAAGTGTGAGCAGGTACGACAGGCACCGCGGGCAACCGTCGCCCGGGGTCCCGGCTGCAGCCGGGTGCGCGGGATGCCGTCTCCCCGCCTTCTCCACCCGAGTGCTGCTGGGCGCGGGCATGGTGGGTCTCGCCCCCGGCCGGGAGGGTCGGGGTTGGCGCCAGGGGCTGCCTTCCTGGTGTCCACCCCCGGCTGGCGAGGGGGCTTTCTCTACCCTGCTGCTGGGAAACGGGCGGAGAGCGGGTTAGTGACGTTGCGGAGGGCGCAGTTCGAGGCGAGCCCAGGACGCTCTGTCCTGCAAACATTTCTTTCCTTTTCACCGTGCCCTGGGCTGCAGAGTCGGATCTAGTGGGCGGGTTTTGCAGTCCCTGCCACAGCCAGAGTTGGTTGTGCATTTTGTCTTAAGTTCTGACACCCTTGATAGGCGGAGCGGCGGGGGAGAAGAATTGGGTTTTGGTCTGGGTTTTTCGTTTGTTTTTCCTTCGTGCTGGGGGACGTCTTGGGAACTTGGTGAGGTAACCCCCAGTCTCTCGGCCCCCACCTCCAGGAATCTCTTCCACCTTCTCTTTGGAGCCCTTATGGATACGACGAACTTCAAACATTTCAGAACATGAAGTAAACAATGGAGAACTGTTTTGCTTCCCCGACGTTCCTGACTGACAGCTTAGAGCTGGAGCTGGGGACCGAGTGGTGCAAACCTCCTTGCTTTTCTTGTGCTGTTGACAACAGAGGAGGAGGAAAACATTTTTCTGGAGAATCCTACCTCTGCAGTGGAGCCCTTAAGCGGTAGGTAAAACTCAGATTTTTCTCCCTCATCTGATTATTCACCAGTTTTTAGGAATGTTAGTTGTCATTTCAGCCAACTTAACTTTGGTGTTCACCAAACAAAGTTTTATAAATCAGCTTAGTATATCATAAGGGTACAAATGAATATCAGTTCTGCTGTTGGCTTCTTGGTAAGGGCATATGTAAAGTATTTTGTGTATTAGGGAAAACTTCCTTGGTAACTGATGTTTCCTTACTGTAGGGAGCTGGGCACTAAGTTTTCTTTTAATTCAAGTGAATTCCTAACTATCTGAGCCTTTTGAAATGGTATTTCCTTCGAAAGAGTGTGATGATATTCTGAAGCTTTCCAGTAATTTTTAAGAAAGACAAGCATTTTTTGTTGCCCTGTTCCTTCTAATCCTACCTATATGTATAGAAGTCTTATAGACTTATTTTACATCAGGCAGGTACATACATACTGCAGTAAAACTGCTATTCTTGAAATGTTTTGGTAATACCTGCTGAGGCAGTTTCAGTCAGGAAGTTAATTTTTGTTGATTTTGTAATTGTACCTTGTTAGAGACCTTGGAGTACCCACCTTCATTAGTTGGATACAATTTTCCAGACATGGCTCAGAATAACTGTTAGCAGTTTTAAAAATTAAATGTCCCCTCTAGGATGAAATTCTGCAACTGAAGACCACTGGTGAAGACAGGCAGAAATACGTTTTTTAGACTCTTTCTTGGTGTTTTTTGTTTTGTTTTGTTTTGTTTTTGAGACACAGTCTCCCTGTTTCCCAGGCTGGAGTGCAGTGGTGCGATCTCGGTTCACTGCAGCCTCCACCTCCCGGGTTCAAGTGATTCTCCTACCTCAGCCTCCTGAGTGCTGGGGTTACAGGCGTGAGCCACCGCGCCTGGCCAGTTTTTCCTCTTAAGTTACATTGCACTTCAGTTATACTTTTAATCAATATGGAAGATTGACATTTTAATACAGCCTAGCTATTGTAATCTTGAATGTGTAAAGTACCAAGGCATTTTCTGACTTTTTATACATGTCATGTATAACATGGATTCAAATGATGTAAAGAAAAGAGCTGTTGTATTATGTTACTTAGTATACTTTTTATGAGATTAAAACATAATTTTCATTTCAGATTAATTTTGAATCTTGATCCTTTACCAACTAATTTTGAAGAAGATACATCGGAAATATTTGGCATTCAGTGGGTTACTGAAACAGCATTGGTGAATTCATCCAGAGAGCTCTTTCATTTATTCAGGTATTTTTTTCTTATTTAACTTTCTGCAAGTGTAGGTGTTGTTCACTTTTGTAAACTACATTGTTGGGTGGCTTCTAATACTGATACTACAAAAGACCAGGAGAATTGTGCTGGTTGCTCACTTAATTATCTTACCAGTAACAATAATCAGGCAGCAACACTTGATGAGTAATGGTTTTAATGAGTTGCATTTCATTTTGAGAATCTTTATTCTTTGCATTTGAAATCATATATTGACAAATATTTGAGGCTTTCAACTATAATTTTCAAAGAAAATTAAAATACTTTTGTTGTTCAATAGCCATAGTCTTTCAGTGATCTTTAGAGTATGATCTTTATAAATAAATCGTTTAGACTGTGTAATGGAAATGCTAATTCTCTATTTGGACAACACTTAAAAATTTTTCAATGAAAAATTTTACACATACACAAAAGAATAATATAATGAACGTCCATATACTCTCCTTCAGTTATAGTAAACAACTTTTTATTAATTTCTTTCATCTGTCTTGTCTCCTTTTCTTTTGACTTAAGTATTTTTAAGCAAATCCTAGGCATCATATCATCTCACCCATAGTTACTTCAGTATGAATTTCTTAAAAATATGGGCCTTTTAGAAACCATGAGCACGGCCGGGTGCAGTGGCTCATGCCTATAATCCAGAACTTTGAGAGGCCAAGGAGGATGGATCATGAGGTCAGGAGTTTCAGACCAGCCTGACCAACATGGTGAAACCTTAATTCTACTGAAAATAGAAAAATTAGCTGGGCATGGTGATACATACCTGTAATCCCAGTTACTCAGGAGGCTGAGGCAGGAGAATCACTTGAACCTGGGAGGCGGAGGTTGCAGTGAGCCAAGATCACCCACTGTACTCCAGTCTTGGTGACAGAGTGAAACTCCGCATCAAACAAACAAACAAAAAACCTTGAACACTGCGTCATCTCAATTAATAAAAATGAAAGTTTTTCCCTTATCTTTTAAGACAATTCATATTCAGATTTTAGGTAAGTTTGAATAGGAGTCAATTATTGAAAGCAAATTATTCCGAAACATAGTAAAAATCTATATGTGATACACTGAAAGGAAAATGGAGAGGTGGAAGGAATTCTCCCACTATCATCCCATGAAACTTTATGAAGAGATTTAACTGGATCTGTGCCATGTCATGAGAAAACAGGCTGAGTGATCCTTTGTTATCCTGAACATTACAGAATCCAGAAGCAGTGACTCTATCTAAAACATATGATATAAAGATGGGTTAGTTTTTAAAGACTTCAAAATCAACTAGCAAGAATAGCAAGAAATTACTATCAGGAATTAAGATGGAACATCATAAATACAGCTTTCCCTGATAACTTTAGTCTACATTATTCCTTTTGTCAACTTCCATTGTTTAACTGTATGCGACAGTTTAAATTTTTATTATGTAGCTGTGAACCTAGAATGTTTTCTGTATTTTAAACTTTTTTTTTTTTGAGATGGAGACTTGCACTATCACCAAGGCTGGAGTGCAGTGGCATGATCTCAGCTCACTGCAACCTCCGCCTCCTGAGTTTAAGCGAATCTCGGACCTCAGCGTCCCAAGTAGCTGGGATTATGGGCCTGCCACCATGCCTGCCTAATTTTTGTGTGTTTTTAGTAGAGACAGGGTCTTACCATGCTGGCTAGGCTGGTTTCGAACTCTTGACCTCAGGTGATCCATCTGCCTTGGCCTCCGCAAGTGCTGGGATTACAGGCCTGAGCCACTGCACCACATCTTAACTTCTTTTTTTTTTCTTTTTTTTTTTTTTTGAGATGGAGTTTCCTTCTTGTTGCCCAGGCTGGAGTGCAATGGCAAGATCTCATTTCACTACAGCCTCCGCCTCCTGGGTTCAAATGAGTCTCCTGCTTCATCCTCTTGAGTAGCTGGGATTACAGGCGCCTGCCACCACACCCAACTAGTTTTGTGGTGTTAGTGGAGAAGGGGTTTCTCTATGCTGTTCAGGCTGCTCTCGAACTCTTGACCTTAGGTGATCCACCCTTTTGGCCTCCCAAAGTGCTGCAATTACAGGTGTAAACCACTGTGCCTGGGCTTAAACTTCTTAAAGATATAAACAGTATCTTGCTGATGGTGAAGTCTGTGGTATTTGAAATAATTTTTGAAATATAGGCAGTCTTTAACAGATACTTTTGGAAGTTCAGGCAAAGATGTATTTTATCTTTTCTTAAAGTTTTCATTACCTGAAGCTGATCTTTTAATTAACATTTACCAAGTATTAATCATCATCCTCAAATAAAAAAGGTATTGAAGCCATGTGGTAGATTTGGAAACATTATCCATGTAATTGTTACATGCTTTACAGTATTCTAAAATTAACTTTCACCTTACATTTTTAAAATTAGGCAACAACTATACAATTTGGAAACCTTGTTACAGTCCAGTTGTGATTTTGGTAAGTTTATTTAAAATGTGTTTAATGGCAAAAAGGAATGGTGCTCCACTATAATGAGTTGCACATTGGTCCATGATGGTATAATTGGGATATCGTGATAATACGGAGGAAGCCTTAGGCCATAAGTTACGAATTTAGTATTCAGAAAAAGTATGACTTAAAATTTTGTTGTAGCTGAGATACGGTGTTTTCCCAAATCTGTAGATTTTAAAGGTAAAACTGACTTAAGGAAGCTAAACTTCTCTGAATATAATTAGTACTTGTTTTGGAGGTAGGGAGTGGGATGGAGAACTTAAATGAGAACTAAAAAGTGCCAGACCTTAGGCTGTCTTGATTGTCTTTTCTGCTTTCTGCTTATAGTTGTTGGTGTTACCCTCTCTTTGATACAGTGTATGGTTTTTTGTCTCTAGACATTCCCTATGGATTTTTTTAAAATGTCTTCCATTTCTGTCCTGATGCTTGTTTTCATCCGTCTTGAATATATGGAGTATACTTTATAACCACTGTTTTTAACTTTGTTGCTGCTATTAACAATTCTTTTATTACTGCCATTTCTGCATCTATTTGTATTGATTAGTTTTTCTCTTGGTTCTCTGATACGTTTTTCTGCTTCTTTGAACATATAGTAATGTTTTATTCTGAGATGAACATTATGGATTTCACATTGTTGCTTTCCGGATTTTTTTGTATTCCTTAAACTAGATGTTGGATTTTGTTCTGGCTTCTTATTGTGTAGTCGTAATCCAGTGGCTCTTTTTGAGGCTTGTTTTAAATTTTGGTAGGATTTTTAAAAAGCAGCCTTTAATGTTAATATAGCCTAGTAAATTAACCTAGTAAGGTTTTGAGAATTCTTTCTGGTTCCTTGTCTAATACGAGATTTTTTTCATGCTTGCTAGCTAGAATGTGAACTATTCCCTGGCCTGTGTACTCTTTATAGGGAATTTTTTTCTGCTGTTTTTCCCTGGCCTTGGGTAATTTTTTTTTCATGTTTGAACAGATCAGTACTTAGATCTCAATAAGGACCTTCTGTACTCTTCCAGAACTCAATTTTGTATAGCTTCTTTCTTCTTGGGCACTTTTGCCCTGCAATTTGGACTACCCTGAACTTGGATCCCGTGTCTCCTCATCTCAGTGAGTTGGGCTCTATTTGGGTTCTCTTCCTCATATTGCAGCCTGGAAACTGTCTCTAGGTGAGGTGCTGGCACAGTTGTAAGGCTTACTTTGTCTCTGGGAGAGCAATCTTATATTGTCTTGTGTCAGAGCCTGAAAACTTGCTTTTTCTGGTTTTCAGTTTTACAGTGGGAGATGGAGCAATCTGATTATTTTATTCCATTTTGCCTGGATGCAGATGTTCATTGCAGTTATTTTTAAGAGAGTACTGCCTTTATGGGCTGAGAATTGTGAAGATATGACGTTTTATGGATGAAATAAAACCATAAAAATGCAGTTTAATATGGAGGTGTTTGCACAACTTTACATTTATGCGTCTGTTCTGCCAAAGTAGTGGCCATGATTGTTCATTTGAATTAAACTTTGGTTTTATATTTAGTATGGGTATAAGTTTGTAGCCTATAATTCTCATTATGTTTTCTCTGTTTTTGTTTACTAGATTCTCTCTTACTCATTTTCTCTAAAATGGTTATCAGTGTTTTGCCCATAGTAACTACCTAGATAAATTATTGCTGATATAAATGCTGGAGTGAGGAAAAGCTGACTATGTGTGAGGTTGGGAGAAAGCAACTATTAAAAGGTCATTCAGAGTTTTATAATTCATTATTAGGAGTTTTGATTTTATTCTACATATAGTAGGCAGTCTTTCAACGGTTTTGACTTGGGAATAAGAGACATCGATAACCATTTTAAGCAGATTTTTTACTTAGAGTATAGGGGGACATGAGAGCATGGGAAGACCTGTTAACAGTCCTATTGCAGTGGTTCAAGTGATTACAGGGAACATGGATAGTTTCATTGTCTATTTGGTTATAAACGTAATAGTTCTCTAAAGGATAAAATATGAGGTTAAAGGAAATGAAAGAATCAAAAACTACATAGACTACTGGTGGCACCATTTAAGGAAATGGTGGAAACATGGGCAGCATCAACGGGTTTTGGAAGAAATTAAAGGATTTATTATTTGCACTGTCTGAGCAATCCCAAGTATTAGGTGTTAAGCAGTTTAACATGCAAGATCTGGAGTGCAAAGGACAGATGTGGGTTGTAGATAACCCTTTTAGAGTCATTTATTAATAAAGGAATTGGTAAGATCGGCCGGGCGCAGTGGTTCACGCCTGTAATCCCAGCACTTTGGGAGGCCGAGGCGGGTGGATCACAAGGTCAAGAGATCAAGACCATCCGGTCAACATGGTGAAACCCCATCTCTACTAAAAATACAAAAAATTAGCTGGGCATGGTGGCACGTGCCTGTAACCCCAGCTACTCAGGGGGCTGAGGCAGGAGAATTGCCTGAACCCAGGAGGCGGAGGTTGCAGTGAGCCGAGACTGCGCCATTGCACTCCAGCCTGGGTAACAAGAGTGAAACTCTGTCTCAAAAAAAAAAGGAATTGGTAAGATCATACATATGGGGAGAGATATATAGAGAGTAGAGGATTCAGGACTGAGTTCTGAAGACACCATATTAATAATAGAATTGAGGAGGAGGAGCCAAAAAAGAGAGGTAGTACAAAGGACACATGAGGAAGAAAGAAGACTGTCAGTATGTGGCACCATGAAGCCAGGTGTCGCCAGTGCTACTGTGGGAGCAAGTTAATAGACAGTGCACTGTCTATTAGATTGGGCAATGTGGGTTTTATTGGTGACTTTAATAAGAGCATTTTTTGAGGAGGAGTTGGAGGCAAGACTGCATGAAAATGTTTTATATAAATGTTACATGATAGAGAACTGCTGCTGGTATGGCTTACAACATCTGTTGTCACTGCCTGTGATAATTATTTAAACTATGATTAACATTGTTTATTTTGGTTTCAGGGAAGGTATCAACTCTACACTGTGAAGCAGACAATATTAGACAGCAGTGTGTACTATTTCTCCATTATGTTAAAGTTTTTATCTTCAGGTAGGATATCAGATGAGTATTTTGATCACTGCATGAAGTTCTGTGTGTATATTTATACAGACTCTAGTTGTTTATTTTATCTAATTGTTTTTTAGGTATCTGAAAGTACACAATGCCAACAGTCATGATCCTGTCCATCCTTATGAGATGTTGGAGGCTCAAATTCCCTCAGTGTTGATTGATGAGCTTCATGGATTACTCTTATATATTGGACATCTTTCTGAACTTCCCAGTATTAATATAGGAGCATTTGTAAATCAAAACCAGATTAAGGTTTGACTTGTTTCATTTTTAAATTATCAGCTTTTTCTCCCCACCAGGAATATTCATTCAAAAAGGAGAGAAATTAGTCAGAATTACAGCTCTGGAACCTGACTGCCTGAATTGAAATTCTTGACCCCCATCCTCCTTTTATTAATTATGTGCTTTTGGGCAAATGACATCTCTTGCCTCCGCCTCCCCATCTGTGTAAATCTTGTAACTTACTAAAATCATTGGAAGAATTAAATTCATATGCATGAAGTTATTAAAACATAGTATTTGTTGAATCAGTAGCTTTTCTCTTGATTTATGACAATATAAATGTCTAATAAAAGTTTTAAAGCAAATGAAATAAGCTTTATTTTAAAAAAATTTTTATCATATATTACAGTAAGATTCAAGAAGATTAATTTATAAAAAAAACTTTCAAGACCACACCTTTATGTGTTCTGACTTTTGAGGCCTATTTGGAATGTCATTAAGATTGTTTTGACTGTGCCCTTCTTTCCCTACCTGTGATAATCATTCCCTCTGAAGTTTGGTTTTTAAAAATTTTGTATTGTTACCATACCCAGCTTATAGATAAGTAATAGATTCTCCTTATGAAAATGGGAGCTTATATGAGTAGCAAATTATGATAATTCACAGTAAGATTCCCTGAAGTCTCAAATCCTTTCATTATATTTGACTTTACCATTTTGAATAACATTTACTTTTTATGAACGTATCTTTGTTAAAATACAAAGTACAGCTGAGCATGGTAGCTCATGCCTGTAATCCTAACACTTTAGGAGGCTGAGGTGAGAAGACTGCTTGAACCTAGGAATTTAAGACCAGCTGGGACAACATAGCAAGACCCCTGTATCTACAAAAAATTAGGCCAGGGTGATGGCGCATACCTGTAGCCCAGCTGCTTAGAAGGTTGAGGTGGGAAGATCACTTGAGCTTAGGAGGTCGAGGGTCTGGTGACCCATGATTGCACCACTGCATTCCAGCCTGGACAACAGAGCAAGACCCTATCTCAAGAAATAAAATAGAATAAATACAATTAAATGTTTACATACTTCTGTGAAATTTAATAGAAACAAGTTGATTTTTTCATCAGAGATCAATATATGTAATAATAAAAGCAAGTGAAGTTCTAACTGAATTTACAAGTTAATATATCTAATCTATAGAAAACAAATAGATAATTGCTTCTAATTATGTCATTTAAATAAAAAGATTCATGAGTACATTTTTGAGGGAGGGATATTTTCCTTACTAGTTTCTATAAATTGGACTGGTTTTTATTTTCTAGTTATCCATCAAGTACCTAAGAAAAAAAAATGAGGGAAAATAATAAGCTTAGTTTTAGACATGTCACATTGAAGTAATTTTGAGTTTATCCAGAATAATCATGGATAAAAAAGATGTTGGTTTTTTTTTTTTTTTTTTTTTGCTTTTCACTATGGCAGAAAGGTTTTGATAATTATATTTGCATCTGGCTTGTTAAATTATTGTGGAAAAAAAGGATAATTTATATAGTAGCAGAAATAAAAATTTGTGCACAGGGGTTCTCAAACTAGGTTTTGCCTTTCATAGCCTTTTTAATTAGGCAGACTTGAAAAGATAGGTTATTTGAAGCTCAGAAGACTAAATTTTTAAAGCAGGGGAACTTTACAGTGTTTAAAAAAAAAAAATCACACACTTAAACACTTTCTGAAACAAAAAAGCATAATAAAAAGCATCTTTCAAGGCTGTTTATGTATTTGTTATTTTATAACAATCTTGTATATGAAATGTCTTGTTTTAATTGTTATTTCCAATTGCGCTTCTTTTATTGTTTTTTAGGAACTCTCTAGATATATATTATTTGGTGGGAATTATGTATTGCAAATATTTTTTCATTAAACTGACTTTCTAGGTATATTTGAATGTTTCAGATAGTTATATTTTCACATTATCATCCATGCTGTTAAAATATTTTGATTGTTGCTTTTATTTCTTTAATTCATGTTATTTTTAAATATCCAATGAGGTGAGAAGTCTAACTTAAATTTCTTGCAAATGGATAAGTTAATAATCTTGTTGTTTACTGAATGACCCATACTTTTCCCATTGATTTGAGATGGCACATATATTCATTTCTGTCTTCTCTGTTCTTGCTGTTTGTTATCTATTCCTGTCCCAGTACTGTTTTGTCAGTGTAGCATTTTATTTTGTGCCTAAGGCAAGTCTACTCTACATCATTCTTTATATTTGTTTTAATGGAACCTAATATGATTGTATTTATTTTTATAGTGATGCTAAATGCTGACTAGAGGATGGTTATTGATAGCACAGTAAAACACAGTACTTGAAAGTGCTGGGTTTTGACTCAGAATTGAGTTTGAATCCTAAAACATGAATTGAGAGGTAAATTTTTTTTTTTTTTTTTTTTTTTTTTGAGACGGAGTTTCGCTCTTGTTACCCAGGCTGGAGTGCAATGGCACGATCTCGGCTCACCGCAACCTCCGCCTCCTGGGTTCAGGCAATTCTCCTGCCTCAGCCTCCTGAGTAGCTGGGATTACAGGCACGCACCACCATGCCCAGCTAATTTTTTGTATTTTTAGTAGAGATGGGGTTTCACCATGTTGACCAGGATGGTCTCGATCTCTTGACCTCGTGATCCACCTGCCTCGGCCTCCCAAAGTGCTGGGATTACAGGCTTGAGCCACCGCGCCCGGCCGAGAGGTAAATTTTTTCACCTCTTTTAACTTCTGTTTCTTTCTTATTTTGAGGTGGAGTTTCGCTCTTATTGTCCAAGCTGTAGCGCAATGGTGTGATCTTGGCTCACCGTAACCTCCACCTCCTGGGTTCAAGTGATTCTCCTGCCTCAGCCTCCCTAGTAGCTGGAATTGTAGGTGCACACCACCAAGCCCAGCTAATTTTTTTTTTTTTTTTTTTTTTTTTTTAGTAGAAATGAAGTTTTACCATGTTGGCCAGGCTGCTCTCGAACTCCTGACCTCAGGTGATCCACCCACCTCAGCCTCCCAAAGTGTTGGGATTACAGGCGTGAGCCACTGTACCCAGCCTTAACTTCTGTGTCTTAATAGGATGACAGTAATGTCTACATTATAGTCTAAAGTTCTTTTGATAAAATATTTTGTAGGAGTTTCTAGTCACTCATACATTAAAAAAGAGTTCCCTAGCTAAATTCTAAGACAAAATTATGAAAACACATATTTTAAAAAATTCTTTTACTGCCTTGCAGTAAATAGAGTCAGAGGTTGGTTGGAAGGTACCTTTACTATACAAGTCTATTCAGCAGCCCCAAGGGTCTATCTTAAACCAACAGATAAAAATAATTCCTGCTTTCAAAGATCCTCAGTGAAAGAATCCTCTAATGAACAAGACAGAGGTTTTCCCTGAGCTTTTGAATAGTGGTAGGTTAATTGGTTCTTTATCCTTGTGTTTATGGAGGAGTATTATGTGACATGCTATGAAATACCTAGTAAAATATTAATGAATTCTCATTCACAGTTGATAATGTTATCCACAGCTTTTTCCACCATCATGGCATTTATTACATCTCCACTTGGATATACATTGGCTGGTGCTAGAAATTCTCTACATGCTGGGTGAAAAATTGAGTAAGTTTATGGATTTATGATTTATATCCCTTTTAAAATCAGCATTTGTTGCCTTTTAAACTTACATAAATAATAAAAGCTTTCTGATTTTTTTTTTTTAAATCAAAGAGTAAACTATTGGGAACAGCTTGGTTTATCTTTCCATATTTGTTTTCTATCTGTTAGTATACATACATAGAAACTCATAGGTAAAATTTTGTTTTTGTTTCTAACCACAGATATGATCGTACTGTTTAGTGTGATCTTTCTTTTTTTTTTTTTTTTTTTTTTTTTAATTGCATTTTAGGTTTTGGGGTACATGTGATGAACATGCAAGATTGTTGCATAGGTACACACATGGCAGTGTGCTTTGCTTCCTTCCGTCCCCTCACCTGTATCTGTCTTTCTCCCCATGCTATCTCTTCCCACCTCCCCACCCCCCTGCTCCTCCCCCATTTCCCCCCAACGGATCCCAGTGTGTAGTGCTCCCCTCCCTGTGTCCATGTGTTCTCATTGTCCAACACCCGCCTATGAGTGAGAATATACGGTGTTTGATTTTCTGCTCTTGTATCAGTTTGCTGAGAATAATGGTTTCCAGGTTCATCCATGTCCCTACAAAGGACGTGAACTCATCGTTTTTGATGGCTGCATAATATTCCATGGTGTATATGTACCACATTTTCCCTATCCAGTCTATCATCGTTGGGCATTTGGGTTGGTTCCAGGTCTTTGCTATTGTAAACAGTGCTGCAATGAACATTCGTGTGCACGTGTCCTTGTAGTAGAATGATTTATAATCCTTTGGATATATACCCAGTAATGGGATTGCTGGGTCAAATGGGATTTCTATTTTTAGGTCCTTGAGGAATCGCCACACTGTCTTCCACAATGGTTGAATTAATTTACATTCCCACCAACAGTGTAAAAGTGTTCCTATTTCTTCACATCCTCTCCAGCATCTGTTGTTTCCCGATTTTTTAATGATCGCCATTCTAACTGGTGTGAGATGGTATCTCAATGTGGTTTTGATTTGCATTTCTCTGATGACCAGTGATGATGAGCATTTTTTCATATGTTTGTTGGCCTCCCGTATGTCTTCTTTTGTAAAGTATCTGTTCATATCCTTTGCCCATTTTTGAATGGGCTTGTTTGTTTTTTTCTTGTAGATCTGCTTTAGTTCTTTGTAAATTCTGGATATCAGCCCCTTGTCAGATGGGTAGACTGCAAAAATTTTTTCCCATTCTGTTGGTTGCCGATTCACTCTACTGACTGTTTCTTTTGCCGAGCAGAAGCTGTGGAGTTTGATTAGGTCCCATTTGTCTATTTTGGCTTTTGTTGCCATTGCTTTTGGCGTTTTGGTCATGAAGTCCTTGCCTACACCTATGTCCTGAATGGTTTTACCTAGATTTTCTTCTAAGGTTTTTATGGTATTAGGTCTGATGTTTAAGTCTTTAATCCATCTGGAGTTAATTTTGGTGTAAGGTGTAAGGAAGGGGTCTGGTTTCAGCTTTCTGCACATGGCTAGCCAGTTTTCCCAACACCATTTATTAAACAGGGAATCCTTTCCCCATTGCTTGTTTTTGTCAGGTTTGTCGAAGATCAGATGGTTGTGGGTATGTTGTATTTCCTCTGAGGCCTCTGTTCTGTTCCATTGGTCTATATCTCTGTTTTGGTACCAGTACCATGCTGTTTTGATTACTGTAGCCTTGTAGTATAGTTTGAAGTCCGGTAGTGTGATGCCTCCTGCTTTGTTCTTTTTGCTTAGAATTGACTTGGCTATGCGGGCTCTCTTTTGGTTCCATATGAAGTTTAAGGTGGTTTTTTCCAGTTCTGTGAAGAAGGTCATTGGTAGCTTGATGGGAATAGCGTTGAATCTGTAAATTACTTTGGGCAGTATGGCCATTTTCACGATGTTGATTCTTCCTAACCATGAACATGGAATGTTTCTCCATCTGTTTGTATCCTCTCTTATTTCGTTGAGCAATGGCTTGTAGTTCTCCTTGAAGAGGTCCTTTACGTTCCTTGTTAGTTGTATTCCTAGGTACTTTATTCTCTTTGTAGCAATTGTGAATGGCAGTTCGTTCTTGATTTGGCTCTCCTGAAGTCTATTACTGGTGTATAGGAATGCTTGTGATTTTTGCACGTTGATTTTGTATCCTGAGACTTTGCTGAAGTTGTTTATCAGTTTCAGGAGATTTTGGGCTGAGATGATGGGGTCTTCCAGATATACAATCATGTCATCTGCAAATAGAGACAATTTGATTTCCTCCTTTCCAATTTGGATACCCTTTATTTCTTTTTCTTGCCTGATTGCTCTGGCTAGAACTTCCAGTACTATATTGCATAGGAGTGGTGAGAGAGGGCATCCTTGTCTAGTGCCAGATTTCAAAGGGAATGCTTCCAGTTTTTGCCCATTCAGTATGATATTGGCTGTTGGTTTGTCGTAAATAGCTTTTATTGTTTTGAGATACGTTCCGTCAATACCTAGTTTATTGAGGGTTTTTAGCATAAAGGGTTGTTGAATTTTGTCAAAAGCCTTCTCTGCATCAATCGAGATAATCATGTGGTTTTTGTCTTTGGTTCTGTTTATGTGGTGGATTACGTTTATGGACTTGCGTATGTTGAACCAGCCTTGCATCCCCGGGATGAATCCTACTTGATCATGGTGGATGAGCTTTTTGATATGCTGTTGCAATCGGTTTGCCAGTATTTTATTGAAGATTTTTGCATCTATGTTCATCATGGATATTGGCCTGAAATTTTCTTTTCTTGTTGAGTCTCTGCCGGGTTTTGGTATCAGGATGATGTTTGTCTCGTAAAATGATTTGGGAAGGATTCCCTCTTTTTGGATTGTCTGGAATAGTTTCAGAAGGAATGGTATCAGCTCCTCCTTGTATGTCTGGTAGAATTCAGCTGTGAACCCATCTGGACCTGGGCTTTTTTTGGGTGGTAGGCTCTTTATTGCTGCCTCGACTTCAGACCATGTTATTGGTCTATTCAGGGTTTCGGCTTCTTCCAGGTTTAGGCTTGGGAGGTTGCAGGTGTCCAGGAATTTATCCATTTCTTCCAGGTTTACTAGTTTATGTGCATAGAGTTGTTTGTAATAATCTCTGATGATGGTTTGGATTTCTGTGGAATCTGTGGTGATATCCCCTTTATCGTTTTTTATTGCATCAATTTGGTTATTCTCTCTTTTCTTTTTTATTAATGTCGCTAGTGGTCTGTCTATTTTGTTGATCTTTTCAAAAAACCAGCTCCTGGATTTATTGATTTTTTGAAGAGTTTTTTGTGTGTCTATTTCCTTCAGTTCTGCTCTGATCTTAGTTATTTCCTGTCTTCTGCTAGGTTTTGAGTTTTTTTTTATCTTGCTCCTCTAGCTCTTTCAACTTTGATGATAGGGTGTCAATTTTAGATCTCTCCTTTCTTCTCATGTGGGCACTCATTGCTATATATTTTCCTCTGGAGACTGCTTTAAATGTGTCCCAGAGATTCTGGTATGTTGTGTCTTCGTTCTCATTGGTTTCGAAGAACATCTTTATTTCTGCCTTCATTTCATTGTTTATCCAGTCAACATTCAAGAGCAAGTTGTTCAGTTTCCATGAAGCTGTGCGGTTCTGAGTTAGTTTCTGCATTCTGAGTTCTAACTCGATTGCACTGTGGTCTGAGAGACTGTTTGTTATGATTTCTGTTCTTTTGCATTTGCTGAGGAGTGATTTATTGCCAATTATGTGGTCAATTTTAGAGTAGGTGTGATGTGGTGCTGAGAAGAATGTATATTCTGTGGATTTGGGGTGGAGAGTTCTGTAAATGTCTATTAGGTTTGCTTGTTCCAGGTCTGTATTCAGGTCCTGGATATCCTTGTTGATTTTCTGTCTGGTTGATCTGTCTAATATTGACAATGGGGTGTTAAAGTCTCCCACTATTATTGTGTGGGAGTCTAAGTCTCTTTGTAAGTCATTAAGAACTTGCCTTATGTATCTGGGTGCTCCTGTATTGGGTGCATATATATTTAGGATCGTTAGCTCTTCTTGTTGCAGTGATCCTTTTACCATTATGTAATGTCCTTCTTTGTCTCTTTTGATCTTTGTTGCTTTAAAGTCTATTTTATCAGAGATGAGAATTGCTACTCCTGCCTTTTTTTGCTCTCCATTTGCTTGGTAGATCTTCCTCCATCCCTTTATTTTGAGCCTTTGTGTATCCTTGCATGTAAGATGGGTTTCCTGGATACAGCACACTGATGGGTTTTGGCTTTTTATCCAATTTGCCAGTCTGTGTCTTTTGATTGGGGCATTTAGTCCATTGACATTTAGGGATAGTATTGTTATGTGTGAATTTGACACTGTCATTTTGATGCTACCTGGCTGTTTTGTTGGTTAGTTGATGCAGATTCTTGATTGTGTTGATGCTCTTTTACCATTTGGTGTGTTTTTGGAGTGGCTGGTACTGGTTGTTCCTTTACATGTGTAGAGCCTCTTTCAGGAGTTCTTGTAGAGCAGGTTTGGTGGTGATGAAATCTCTGAGTGCTTGCTTGTTCACAAAGGATTTTATTTTTCCTTCACTTATGAAGCTTAGTTTGGCTGGATAGGAGATTCTGGGTTGAAAGTTCTTTTCTTTAAGGATGTTGAATATTGGCCCCCAGTCTCTTCTGGCTTGTAGGGTTTCTGCTGAGAGATCTGCTGTGAGTCTAATGGGCTTCCCTTTGTGGGTAACCCGACCTTTCCCTCTGGCTGCCCTTAGCATTTTCTCTTACATTTCAACCCTGGTGAATCTGACGATTATGTGCCTTGGGGTTGCTCTTCTTGAGGAATATCTTTGTGGTGTTCTCTGTATTTCCTGGATTTGAATATTGGTCTGCCTTGCTAGGTTAGGGAAGTTTTCCTGGATAATATCGTGAAGAGTATTTTCCAGCTTGGATTCATTCTTTTCATCACATTCAGGTACACCTATCAGACGTAGATTAGGTCTTTTCACATAGTCCCACATTTCTTGAAGATTTTGTTCATTCCTTTTTGCGCTTTTTTCTCTGTTCTTGCCTTCTCTTTTTATTTCATTGAGTTGATCTTCGACCTCTGATATCCTTTCTTCTGCTTGGTCAATTCGGCTGTTGAAGCTTGTGCATGCTTCACGAAGTTCTCGTGTTGCGTTTTTCAGCTCCATCAATTAATTTATACTCCTCTCTATGCTGTCCATTCTCGTCAGCAGTTCGTCCAATCTTTTTTCAAGGTTCCTATTTTCTTTGCGATGGGTTAGAACATGTTCTTTTAGCTCATTGTAGTTTCTTACTACCCACCTTCTGAAGTCTGATTCTGTCATTTCATCACCCTCCTTCTCCATCCGGTCTGGTTCCCTTGCTGGTGAGGAGTTGTGATCCCTTTTAGGAGGAGAGGTGTTCTGGTTTCGGGAGTTTTCATCCTTTTTGCGCTGGGTTCTTCCCATTTTTGTGGGTTTATCCACCTGTTGTCTGTCTCTGTCCCAGGGAGTTGGAGCTTTATGAGTTTCCCTTGCACTACTGCCTTTTTTGATTTTTCTTTCAGGTCGGACCCGCCCAGCTAGCAGCACGCCTAGCCACTGCCTGCCCGAAGGGGCTTTGCTGAGCTGCTGTGGGCTCCGCCCAGCTGCCCTGAGCTCTTCCCTGTAGTCCTTTTTATAAGGGCGTAGTTAGAACTGTCTTGGCAATGGTGGCCCCGCCTCTGTTATGGTGGACTCTCTCTGTTGTGGCAGGTTGCCTCGGCAACGGCAGCCTGCCTCCTTAGCGGTGGAGAGTCTCAGTAATGGCGGAAGCCCCTCCCCCATGGATCTGGACCCTCCGGGTTCAGCTGTGCTTGGTTTGAAGGGCTCAACCCAGAGGGTTTCCAATTACTGTTTTTGTTTTCGTTGTTGTTGGGGGTGGAGGGGTGGGACCAACGGAGGCTGATCACCTGGCTCCCTGACTCAGAGTCTTTTCTTTTAAGTTGAACGACCCCGCGTTCTGGTCGCTTGTTGAAAAGGCGCCGGGATCTCCCGTGCTGCGACTCACGGAGTCGGCTCGAACTGTGGCGCCGGCTCCTGGCGGATTTTTTGCCTAGGAATCTCCTGGCCTGGCTCGCTATTTCAGATGAATGGGCTATTCTGCCGTCTCAAGGCTCTGCTCGCCAGCTAAGAGGGCTCCCAGACCAGTGGCTTTTGTACGGAGAACCGCAGCAACAGGGAGTGGTCACAGCAGCCGCGCAGGCGGAATCAGCCCCGCGGGGGCCAAAACAGCCGCACCGGCTGGGACTGCGACGCTGGCGACCCCTCTGCCTGGGTATCTCCTGGTCTGTGGGCAATAAGAGTTCGTCTGGAAATGCGGCGTCCACTCACCCTCTGCACTTTCACTGGGAGCTGAAGTCCTGAGCTGTTCTTAGGCGGCCATCTTCCCAGCATTCTCTGTGATCTTTCATTATCAGTGTTTTAGAGATCTGTTTAAGTTAGTACCTATAGTTCTACTTTATCCATATAAACACTGAATGTTCTACTATATTTAGCAATGTCTATTTTAAACATTTAAGTTACTTTCATTTTTTTGATATTACGAATAATTTTTCACTGAATGCACTTGGGTACAGATATGTATCTTTAATCTGTGTACAAGTTACTCTAATATTCTTAGAGTGGCACACTGCATTTTTAATATGTATATGCTGCTGTTTTGCTGAATAGTAAGTCCTACTTATCTATAGACATAACTGTTAGTATGCCTTTACTTTATACTCTTGCCAGTAGTTGATGCTATCAATTATGTTGTATTTTTTGCCAACTAATATGTGAAAAATGAAATGGAATTTTTTTATCTTGCAATTTCTTGGTTACTAGTGAAGTTGAACATCTTTACATTTTATTGTCTGTATTTGCTTTATTAATTCATTATATTTTGCAAATTTTCTTTTTTTAGTAACTATATATATATATATGTCGTGGATAAATATCTTTTATACTTATGGCTATGGTGCCTATTTATGTCTCGATCTTGCTTAGGTTCCATTGCCAACCTATTATTTAGGTTGTAAAGATGTCTATTACTCCAGCACCTGCTTTTCATTTAATAAATACATATACTTATATGTATCCGTACATAGAAAAATACAAAGATATACACAAGTATATAATTTCCTCTCTCATGTAAAGTCTGAATTTCACATTACTGTTTTCTTAGAGTAATACTCAAGTGGACTTATTCTGAGATAGGTATACATTTTGGTTATCTATTACCTTGGTTTGCTCTATTTTATTCCACAAAGCAATTGCATGAGGTCAGTTTATCAGTATTGATTAAAAGAAAAATGTTTTAAAGGCTTTGTTGGTTAGAAATGTGGATGAAGATTTTATGTTCTCTCTCTCTTTTTTTTTAAGTTGTGTTGCATTAATGCTTTCCAAAGATAGACTTATTAGGAAAAAAAGTTTATTAGATTTTACTTGGAAGAATTAGAAACTTGTGAAGATAATGTTATCAGTGCTCATATAAGAAAGTTGTCTTCAAATTCAAATCTTATTTGCAAAAAAAAAACTTTTAACTTTTAGTTTTGTTATAATTTAAAGATTTACAGTCACTTTATCCTTTCTGATTTGGTAAAATCTACTGTACTTTAAAACTATTTTATTGCATTTTCAGAACAAGTCGTATATGGTCATCAGTTTATGAATCTGGCAAGTGACAATTTAACCAATGTTAGCCTATTTGAAGAACATTGTGAAACTCTCCTTTGTGATTTAATAAGCCTGTCACTCAACAGATATGACAAGGTAATGCTTTAAGAGTTTATTTGTATTTTTGAAACTTAAAGACAATATTCTGTCCTTAATATATGTCATTTAATCTATAAAAATTTAGTCTAAAATGATTATATGTTTCAATTTTATATTTAGTTGCTATTATCTGGGTGCTTAAAGGTAAAATAGTTTTTATTTAAACATCTAAAACAGGCTGAAGTTGGTATTTTAGAGCTTTTCTTTTTTTTAAAGAAATATAGCCTTTTCTGGTTTAACAAAAATAAATAGATAAAAATGATGTTTACTAAAATAATTGGAAACCTAATTTCTACCTAAATAGTACAGGCCAGCTTTTTAATAAATTATTGTATTGTTATATAATAAAATAAGGGCTTACTTAAAGTTCTTTGACAGATTTTAAGAGGATTTTGTTCCTTGTTTTCATAGAAGGTCTAGTATCATGACTGAAATTATGTGTTTAGATTAAATTGTGTTTATCATAGAGTATTTAATGGAGACAGTGACTTAAAGGTGCTACAGAACATGTTCATTTTTAAGTGGTGGAAATGTTTAGATTATTTTCTGTTTCAGATTTATAAGCATAAAGACTGTTTTTGGGAAATCAAGATTTAGGGAAAAGGATTCTTATAATTTTTCAAAGTTTAGGTTTTTTTCATGCATTGATTATCAATATTTTTAAAATTTAGTGTGTATGTGTATTAGTGGATTAACCAGATATGATAGACTGATGTCTTTTAAACATTTATTCATTTATTTTTGATAATTGACAAAATTATATATATTTATCATATACATCATGTTTTGATATGTGTCTACATTGTGGAATGGCTAAATAGAGCTAATTAGCCTATGTATTGTCTCAAATTCTTACCTTTTTTTGTGTGAGAACACTTAAAATCTACTCTTAGTGATTTTCAAGAATACCATATACTACATTGTTTTTAACTGTAGTCACCATGTTGAGTTTATTTATCTAACTGAAATTATTTATGCTTTGACCAACATCTCCCCTGCCTCCCTCCTAATCCTCCTTACACCCGTTGGTAAGGATCATTCTACTCTGCTTCCATGAGTTCAGCTTTTTTAGATTCCACATATAAATGAGATTATGTGTTATTTGTCTTCTGTGCCTGGCTTACTTCACTTAACATAATGTCCTCCAGGATCATCCATATTGTTGCAGATGGCAGGATTTCCTTCTTCTCAAGGCTGAATAGTAGGTCCATGCACTGTGGAACAAAGTTTCAGGCAGTGACAGACCACATATACAAGGTGGCTATACCACATTGCCTAGGTGTGCAGTAGTAGGTTTAAGTACAATAAATCATGTTAGCATGAAGATATACTTCTCAGAACATGTCCTACTATTAAGTGACACATGACTGTATTCCATTGCATAAATAAACCACATTTTCTTTATGCATTCATCTGTTGATGGACAATTTGGTTCATTCCATGTCTTGACTATTGTAAATAATGCTGCAGTGAACTTGCGAATGCAGATATCTCTTCAACGTAATAATTTTATTTTATTTTTTCAAATATACCTAGTAGGATTGCTGGATCATGTGGTAGTTCTATTTTTAATTTTATGTAAATCAACTTGCATACTCTATTACATGATGGCTGTACCAATTTATATTCTCACCAAAATGTGCAAGGGTTTTCTTGTCACCACATCCTCTCTAGCACTTGTTATCCTTTTTTTTTTTTTTTTTGGTGATAGCCATTATAACAGATGTGAGATGATATCTCATCAAGTTGTAATTTGCACTTTCATAATTATTAGTGATATTGAGCATTTTTCATATGCTGCTTGGCCATTTGTATGTCTTTTAAGAAATGTCTATTTATATTTTTTGTCCATTTTGTAATTGGGTTATTTGTTTTCTTGCTGTTGAGTTATTTGGGTTCCTTATATATTTAAGATACTAACCCCTTATTAGATACATGGTTTGTCAATATTTTCTTCCATTCTGCAGGTTTTCCTTCATTCCACTTTTTTTTTTTTCTGTGCAGATGTTTGTTTTCATTTTTGTGGCCTGTGCTTTTGGAGTTATGCCAAAGAAATCATTTGCCAGACCACTGTCATATAGCTTTTCCCTCATGTTTTCTTCTAGCTCTACAGTTTCAGGTCTTACATTTAAGTCTTTAATTTATTTTGAGTTGATTCTTCTGTCTGGTGTGAAATAAGGGCCTAAATTCATTCTGCAAGTGGATATCAAGTTATCGCAAACTGTCTATTGAAGAAGCTGTCCTTTCCCCAATGGCATCCCCTATTCATCTTTGTTAAAATTCAGTTGACCATGAATGCCTAGATTTTAAGTTTGAGCTCTCTACTGTGTTCTATTTTGTTCTGTGTCTGTTTGTATGCTAGCACCACACTTTTGATTACTATTACTTTGTAGTATATTTTGAAGTCAGGTAGTGTCAATGCCTCGAGCTTTGTTCTTTTTGCTAATGATCTATTCAGGACCTTTTGTGATTTCCTGCCAATTTTAGGATTGTTTTTTCTATTTCTATGAAAAGTGTCATTAAGTATTTTGGTAGGGACTTCATTGAATCTGTAGGTCACTTTGGGTACTATGGACCTTGTGATAGTATTTCTTCCAACTCATGAACAAAAGATAGTTTTATACTTATTCATGTTGTATTATTTCATCAGAGTTTTATATTTTTCATTGTACTGGCCTTTCACTCTGGTTAAATTTATCCCTAAATATTTTTATTTTTGTAGGTATGTACTATATGTGGGATTGTGTCATTGATTTCTTTTTTGGATAGTTTGTTGTTATTGTATAGAAATGCTATGGTATTTTTTATGTTGGTTTGGTATCCTGCAACTTTCCTGAATTTATTTATTCTAATGATTTTTGGTGATATCTTTAGAGGTTTCTATATGTAAGATCATGTTATCTACAAACAGCAACAATCTTAACTTACTTCTTTTTGTTTAAATGACTTTTATTTCTTTTGCTTAATTGCTGTGGCTATGATTTCTAGTAAAATCCTAATACTTTTTTTTTTTCCACTTTGTATTAGGGTAGAAATATGTACATAACTTACGTAAAATATTACATACATTATGAATTTAAGAAGCCTCCTAACTGTATTTGTAAATATCATGTATATTCTATGCATTATCTAGGATTTTTTTGTTAAAAAGTAAATAATTTATAAATTACTTAATCTTTATAAAACCCTAATAACTGTATTTATTCTGTCTTGCAAAATTTTTACTCTGTTTTACAGTGAATCAAAATTGATTTTCTAATCTTTTTATTAGAAGTCTTTTGTTGTCGTAGATGACTTAGGTCAAGATAAGCAAACTAGCCCTGAGGTATAATCTAGCCCACTGTTTTTGTGAATATAGTTTTATTGGACTATAACCCCATCCATTTTTCTTACATGTTATCTGCAACTGTTGTACTGAAATGGCAGAGTTCAGTACTTGTGACAGATACTATATTGCCAACAAACTCTTAAATATGTCCTATATAGCCCTTTATAGACAAAGTTCGCTGGCCACTGGACTAGATGATTTAAATGGTTTTTAAGTTGAAATCTAATTTATTCTATACTTTTGGTTTTAAAATGGAAATTTATCTTAAAAGTTAAATGAAGGGGCACATTTTCAATAAATAATTTTATTTGAGAAATTTTAAGTCATCTAAATCATTCTTTAAAAAGTATTTGGAAGCTATGTGGCATTTAAAATTCTGTTGCTGTCTTATAATGAAAACATTTTGGTTCTTTTCTATAGGTTAGGCCCTCTGAATCATTAATGAGTCACCATTTTCCCTGTTCATGCATTAAAGAATTATGGATTCTACTCATTCATCTTCTAGACCACAGAAGTAAATGGTCTGTCTCAGAAGTAAGTTGGAAAATTGATGTGTTAGTTATTGTTACTAACCTTTATGTTGATTTAATGCAGTGATTATGACTGATAAAAATTTTAACTTCCCTTTTTTATAATTAGGCAATAATAACCACCAAATAGAACAGTAACTGAGTACTGAATGCCTACTTACTTTTCAACCCTAATTATTTTTAGCCCCAAGTTAGTAATGTGAAAAATCTAAGAGTAGTACAAGGTTCGACGCTTGTTTTTTCAAGTTTTGTTGTGTCAAGTTTTGTTGTTGTTCTATCAGAAATCTTTTAGGCTAAGGTATTTAATACCCATTAGTAATTTAGAAAACATTTTAGCCAGGAAATATGGCAGATTTAGAAGAATTGTCAAGCAATAAAACAGGTTTCTATTACTCAAGTTTATAGCATCTTATTTCAAGGAGTGAGGAAGAGAAGCACAAAGGGGAAGATGAGAAACTTTCTTTCACTTCATTTTCAGTCATGTCTTCAGATCAGGGCTTTATTTTATTTCCAGTGTTTTAGGTTATTGAAAAAGGGAAGTACCGCTAGGTGGAAGTAAGTAAAACAGTCTCTTGTAAAGCAACATTAAAAATGGTTTATGTTATATGAAAAGATACATTTGATTTTTCATGGATTTCAAAATTTTCCAGTTTTCTGTAATTTGGGGTTTGGGTGGTGCTATCTTTTTTTTTTTTTTTTTTGAGGCAGAGACTTGCTGTGTCGCCCAGGCTAGAGAGCTCACTACAACTCTGCCTCTGCACGATCTCAGCTTACTACAACCTTTGCCTCCCAGGTTTAAGCAATTTTCATGCCTTAGTCTCCTGAGTAGCTAGGATTACAGGCATGCACCACTGTGGCCAGTTAATTTTTTTATTTTTAGTAGAGAGTGCATTTTACCACGTTTCCCAGGCTGGTCTTGAACTTCTGACCTCAAGCAATCCACCTGCCTTGGCCTTCCAAAGTGCTAGGATTACAGGTATGAGCCACCACGCCTAGCCTGCTATCTTTTTTTTAGTAACAACTCTATCTTTATAGGTTTACAAGTACTGTATTTATTTTGAGTTATTTTAGCAGCAAATAATTGTAAACTATATTTTTGCATATTATTAAGTAAAAATTTTTTTTTCATAACCTAGAGGCAGTTGCTGAATTGTATAAACTTGAACTTCGGCTTTCAGGCATTATAAGGTACAAGAAAAGAAAATAAAGTTCAGAATTGATCAAGTTTGTAGCCTACAACTACACCAATTATCCATAAAACTGGTCTCTCAGAAAGATAGAAACTAAACTAGATTTTTAAGGAAAATTGACTGTCTTTAACTGTGGTGCTTTTCAGAAGCTTAAAATTGCTTCTGTGTATTTTTTACTGTATTCTAGTCCTTATGTGAGTTTACAGACTGGGTTCATGTTACCTAAAGATTTCAAGTTACTGAGCCCAGGATATCGAGGCTACAGCGAGCCAAGATTGTGCCACTGTACTGCAGCCTGGATGACAAAGCAAGACAGTGTCTTGAAAAAAGAAAAAAAAATTTCAAGCCATTGAATTCTGGGTAGCCAAGAACAATGGATGGATGCCTAAACCCACATCTTCCTACATAACCTTCCAACAAAATATGGAAAAGCAAAATCAAATATATCTACCATTGACTCTTGCTCAATGTGAGGGTTAGGGATGCTGACCCACCCCATGCAGTCAGAAAGCTGCATGTAACTTTTGACTTCCCCAGAACGTAACACGTATTTTGTGTGTTATATGTATTAAAATAAACTAGAAGAAATAAAATATTAAAACTATAAGATAATCTTTACTTCTTATTAATTAAGTGGAAATAGATCACCATAAAGGTCTTCATTCTCATCTTCATGTTGAGTAGGCTAAGGAGGAGGAAGAGGAGGGGTTGGTCTTGCTGTCTTAGGGGTGGTAGAGATGGAAGAAAATCCATGTATAAGCTCATCCATCCATTTCAAACCTGTGTTGTCCGAATGTCGGCCATATACAAAAACATTCATATTATGTAACTGCAAATAGGTGTGCTTAGTACTGTCAATTTTAAAAACAAAACCACTTAAGCTCTTACCAAAGGCCTTTCTAACAAGGCAGGACAGTCTGAGAAAAACTACTCAGAGAAGAGAACTAGCAGTGGTTATAGAACTGCTTTAAAATCATTGCCAGAATGTGAAGATACTGAAAAAGTTTTCTTATAGATCAGATAACTTATGATATGAAAGAAACATAAAAGTGTCCATACAACATGGAGTTTCTGTAGAGTAAAAAGGCAAAAATGAGTCATGGTACCTGCTGGTGATTGGTTGATGAAGGGGGTCAGAAGAGAAAGCAGAAAATTTAGGGTCTTAAAACACCACCACCAAAAAAAAAAATAATAAATCAAAGGACTCATACCCACTTCCACCACCAAAAAACAACCAACCAAAAAAAAAAAAAAAAGAGAAAAGGAAATTCAGCAAAGAAATGGGACTTTGGTGCATTGTCAAAAGAAGGTGCCCCTGAATTAAGAATCTTTTAAGCTAGTCTTAATCTACAAAATGAATAGAATAAAACTAGACCTTTATAAGTTATTGGAAGAAAACAAATTTGATACGCTTTAGTTGATGGTACCCTCTCCTCCAGAAACAACTATAAAGCAGAAAGAAGACAGGGACAACAACACTGCAGATTGAATTAGTTTGTCTGTTCAGACCACATCTGGGGGTACAGAAAAACACCTTCAATAAGATAGTCAAATATTAAAAACAAATGGACAGAAAACCAAGATGGATAGAAGGAGTATATTGAATGCAAGAAAGAAATAGGAAGAGGAACATTGTATCAGAATGGACTAAATTACAAGATGACCAAGGGAGAATGGACTTAAATGAAAATTTAATAAGGCGTATAGAGGAAAGGTTGAAAAACAACTAAGGAAATAAAAATGAGATAAATATAAAGAGTTTGTGAGAAAATGGTTGAGATTGAAGATAAGCAGAGACAAAATAACCATATATATAAATGCAATCCCTAGAAAAGAAAACAACAATGGGTTATAGCTACTATTAAAAACTATAATTAAAGGAAACTTCCCAGAAATAAAAGATCTAAATCTACGTATTGAAAGGGCCTACTGGATAATTTGAAAGATTAACCCCAAGCAATCCACCCTAAGACATGTCTTACTAAAACTGTTTGATTTTAAACATAAAACATCTCCAAGTTCTGTAGAAACAAAGACCAAATAACTTATAAGAGCAAAATAATTTTATTGGTGCTAGACTTCTCGAAATCAGCTTAAAGCAATACATCAATGGAGCACTTAAAATGACTCAATGAAAAAGTGTGAGCCAAGGATTTTGTGACTTTGACCCTAGCAATCCCACTTCCAGGTATTTACTCTAAATGTGTACCTTCCAAAATTAAAATGCATATGCATAAGTTTATTTATTGCAGAATTATTTTTATAATGGTATAATAGTAGAAACTAAATTTCCATACATGAAAAAGAGTGGTTGAGCAAACCGTGGTATATCTGTACTCTGAAGTATTGTTCTGTATTAGTATGTGTTCTCTGGAGAAACAGAACCAATAGGATATATAGATATATAAGATTTATTATAATGAATTGGCTCACAGAGTTATGGAGGCTAAGAAGTCCTGAATCTGAGGTTGGCAAGCTGAAGACCCAGAGGAGCTGATGGTACAGTTTCTAGTCTCAGTCCACAGGCCTGCAAACCAGAGGCCAATGGTGTACCTTCCAGCTTGAGTCCAGGTCTGAAGGCAGAAACAACTGAACTTAAATGTATTTTAAAACAATAATACTCGTTGCAAGGATTGGCAGTACTAACCCAGGTAACTTTAAAATGTACTATTTTGACACTGTACTATACAGCCAAAGACAAATCATAAAGAACTGTAAATATTTCACGTAGAAGATTTGTTTTTTTACATTGTTATGTGAGGATTAGCAATTTTAGATCTATTATATTTGTATTCTTAGACTCAAAAAATTGGTAAATACATTGTGGCGAAATGGAGTCAGGTTTGTCTGTCTTGGGAAATTGGGTTACACATATGCAAAGAAGGAATGCCAGCATGAACCACAATATGTTGGATTAGTGTTTGAGACGGTATGAAATATTTGTTTTTAATATATAGGACTACATATAAATATATATGTGTGTGTGCATACATCTATTTCCTACCTTTTTCACAAGGTAGGCTTACAAGCAGTGGTATCTGAGTAACAATATACATATTTTAGCTATATCTTAGTTTCAGAATAACCATTCTGTAGTGAAAGGAAACAAGAGTCTTTGAATAAATGACTGATTATAGGATGAGGCATGGAAAGTAAACATGAGCCTGAAACATCTTGTACCAGAAACTAAGGAGGTACTCAAAAAATGATGAGTACATGTCAGAAGGACACAAGAGCCAGCCTTAAGGTCTATAGGCTAAACCTTGGAAATTTGAGATACAAAATAGTAAAGGATTGTAATCTGTTAAGAATCTGTGAGTCCCTACTGATACAAATTGGGAAAAGGGAAGCTTTTCCTAAAAAAAACATAGAGTCATGATGTAATTAGAAAATCACCGTTTTATAACTTCCATGGTAATTGTTTCAGGCAAGAATCCTCAATGAATGCTTAAAGTCGTGGACAAAATGGATGAAGAACAGCGTATTTACTTAGTTAGCTAATATCTTTACATAATATTTATCAATTATAAAAAAGAAAATAATAACTTTATAGTACAGAAAATGTAGCAGGTACTACCTTAACCACATAATCAAAGTTAACTAGTAATAGAACAGACTAATACCATGTGCCACCAATATGATGCCTTGAAAGAACAAAAATAGTCTGGGTATGGTGGCTCATGCCTGTGACCCCAGCAATTTGGGAGGCTTAGGTGGGAGGCTCTCCTGAGCCCAGGAGTTCAAGACTGGGTAACATAGAGACCTTGTCTTTACAAAAAACAAACAGGATTACTTATGTGTGGTGGTGACATGCCTGTGGTCACAGCTACTTGGGAGGCTGAGGTGGGATGATCACTTGAGCTCAGGATTTTGCACCACTGCCTGGAGCCTGGGCAACAGAGTAAGGCCCTCCCCCCACAAAAGGGAATAAAATGTGTAATGTTAGACAAACCTAAATAGCTGGCCTATACTCTTTAAAAATACCAAGTTTATGAATGATACAATCTCAGGAACTCTTAAAGATTAAAGGAAGCTGAAGAAATTTACAGATTAAATGATGTGATAGCTAAATGCATCTTATGATTGCTGCATAATGATATAGTAGGCTAATTCTCAATACGATCTATTGTGCACATTATAATACAAAGAAAAATGAAAAACATGAAAGAGTGGTTAAGAGACATGACGAATAGAGAGGATGTCTGATATACTTCTAATTATACTTACAAAGTGGAACAGTGAAAACATTTGAGGAAAAAAATGAAAAATTTCAAATGTTAATGAAAGCTAATCAGATAAATTCAATGAACCCACATAGGGTAAATAAGGAGAAAAAACACACCCAGATACATCACAGTGGAATCACAGAAGACCAAAGACAAAGAAATTTATAACATCAGACAGAAAAAGGTGTTATTTTTTTTAGAGAGAAGGTCTCACTCTGTCCCCTAGTCTGAAGTGCAATGATGCGGTCATGGCTCACTGCAGCCTCAACTTCTTCAGCTCAAGTGATCCTCCTGCCTCTGACTTCCTAGCAGCTGGGAGAACAAGCGCATGCTGCCATACTTGGCTAAGTTATTTTTTGTAGAGACAGAGCCTCACTGGTGCTGCTCAGGCTGGTCTCAAACACCTGACCTCAAGCAGTCCTTCTGCCTTGGCCTCCCAAAGTGCTATGATTGCAGGTGTGAGCTACTACAACTGGCCAATATACTGCCTTTAAAAGAGTGACAATTAGATGGACAGATGACTTATCAACAACAATGGAGGCCAGTGGGAATAATATCCTTATTGTATCAAAACAATATTTGTCAACCTAAAATTCTTTACCTATCAATATCTTTCAAAAGTGAGGTAAAATAAAGCTATTTTCAGTGAAACGACATTGAAGGGAGTCCTGAAGGATATTTAGGCAAAAGGACAGTGATGCCAAAATGGGAAATCTGACATGTAGAAGAAATAAAGTGCAAAGAAAGTGGTAAATGTTTTGTATAAATCAGTAATTTATTGGAATTTAAAAATAGAGCTAAAGCATGTAGTAATAGCATCTAAAGTGAGTAGGGCATAAATGAGCTAGAGTCTTTTAAGGCCCTTGTTTTGTCTAAGAGAAAGGTCTGTATTAACTTACCAGGACATTTGGATGTATGCTATTATTTCTAAGATCATCAGTAAAGTAAGAAAAGTTGGCTTTTTAACTTCCAAGATAGTAGAAGGGGAAAAAATATTCAACCCCAAAGAAGGAGATGTTGGTAGATACAGTAGGTATGCAAATACAAATATGGAATAAAATTGTAAATTTAAAACTAAATAATATTAGTCATATTACCTGCAATGATACTACTAAAAGTTCCATTTAAAAGATAATATTGTCAGGATAGATTATAAGCTGGTTTACAAGAGATATATCTAAAACAATATGTCAAGGTTTAAAATTGATAGAAAAGATACAAGAAGGTGAAATTAAACAAATATTAGAAAAACTTTGACTTTAAAACAAAAAAGCCTTAAGCTGTTTTATAGTGATGAAATGTTTGCTTTATCAAGAATACAAATTTAAATTTGCATGTGGCTAATAACATGATGTTAACTATAGGAATTTAAAATTGACAGATTTTCAAGGAGAAATACACATGCATAGAAATAATAAAATATATTTCTAAATAACTCAGGTTAAAGAAGAGATAATGGAAATTAGGAAATATTCTGAAGTAAATCACATTCTATAAGCTAAAGCTTTGGGACTACAGCTAAAGTTACAATTAGAGGAAAATTTGTAACTTTAAATGCAAATATGAGAGAAAAAGATTGAAAATTAATGAACTAAGAATTTATCTCAAGATGTTGGAAATAACCCCTTCATAGTAAACCCAAATAAAGTAAAAGGAAGAAAATTATTTAAATAATAAAATATTATGATATTAAAACAATAAAAAGGATAAAATGAGCCAAAAGTTGGGTCTTCAAATTGATAAGTAAAATAGGACAATTTTACTGAAGATGATTATAAAAATACTAAATACTAACTAGAAATATGAAAAGGAACATGACTTTAGTTCTGTGTACATTAGAAATGTAAGAGATACTGTTAACAACTTTGTCTAAGAACTTGAACATTTACATGAAATACCTAGAAAAAAACCTACTAAAACTCACTAAACGTTCTGGAATTATAGATTGAATGTTTTATAATATAGTCATATACAGGAATATTGCAATGAATTATGGCTGTTTTCATTAATATGGATGAGTTCAGAAATGTAGCATTGACCAAAAGAAGCAAGTTACAAAAGAATTAGAAACAAGCTGGTTAAGAATACAGACACGCATTTTAAAAATAACAAAACACAGATGAAGCCACACAATATATAATATAGGCTTATGTACCTGTGTGGCAAAGCAAGGAAATGATTGATTATGAAAGTAAGCAAAATTGTTACCCCTGGATGGAGGAAGTAGATTACTTCTAAAGTACTGGTTATGTTCTGATTCTTATCCTGGGTATTTTTATTATTTAAGTTTTATGTGTGTATTTTGTATTGTCTTTTGTATGTATGCTTTATTATAAAAATAGAGAAAAACCAGTAAATCAAAGGTTATTGAAAGTGTCTTAATTTAATTGAATCAAATTACCTCTGTTTCTGTAGTCATTCTGGACCTGGTTGAATAAACTACTTAAAACACTGTTTGAAAAATCAAGTGACCGAAGAAGACCCTCTATGCCTGTAATCCAGTCCAGGGATCCATTAGGTTTTAGTTGGTGGATTGTTACTCATGTAGCATCATTTTACCAGTTTGATCGCCATGGAGTACTAGATGAAATGGTAAGACTTCATTTTTTAAAAACTTGCTTATATTGTCAATTAATATTTATTATTATTTGGACAAATTAGAAAGTAAGTGAGCAGAAACAAGTCATATTACAATCACAGAGATAAGTTATTTATATCTGTGTATAATGTTTCTGTAAACATCTTGAAAAATTATAAAGTTTATGTTTTAATTAATTTAAAAAAGGGAACTTGTGGAAGGTTTGGTGTATAGTCCTGGCCCTGCTACTGAGCAATTGTGCGACCCTGAGCAAATTACTTAAACCTTTCCAACCCTGTCTTCCTTTAACAAAAAATCATGGAGTTGGATTGTCACGAAGTTTCCTTCTAGTTTTAAAATCTGTTAAGATTGGCAAAGAAATATCTTAAAGAATGAATTACTTATTTTTGTGAATAATTTAGTAAAAGTACTTGAGAATAACACTTCTCTAGTGAAGCTTTTTGCTAAGATAATTTATTAAACAACCGTGAAGTTTGCTTCAGATAGAGTTTAACTGGTATATTAATTTCTCATAGAAACATTGTTTACCGTGTTACTTTAAAAACCTTATGAATAAAGCCAGCAAATAGATTTCTACTTTGAAAACCTATTTTTATACAATTTCTACCATGTTCAGAAATTAATAGTATTGTATTATTAGCCTATCAGCTCCATAAAATAAACATCTAGAATCATGAAGCAAATGTGTCTATATTTTTAAAATTGGTCTTTTTTATGGCAGTGGTTCCCAAACCTGGTTGATCATTAGACTTACTTGTGATTTTTTAAAAAATCCAGATATCTAGGCCAGGCATTGGTGGCTTACACCTATAATCCCAGTACTTTGGGAGGCCAAGGTGGGTGGATCACTTGAGATCAGGAGTTGGGCACCAGCCTGGTCAATGTGGTGAAACCTTGTCTCTACTAAAAATTCAGAAAATAGCAGGGCATGGTGATGTACATGGTACTTGGGAGACAGAGGCAGGAGAATCGCTTGAACCCAGGAGATGGAGGTTGCGATGAGCGAAGATCATCCCATTGCACTCCATCCTGAGGAGCAGGGTGAGACACCATCTCAGGAAAAAAAAAAAAAAAAAAAAAAAAAATCCAGATATCTAGATATTAACTCTGGAGATCCTGACGTAGTAATCTGATTTCGAGTTTGGAAATCCTGATTTTTAAAAAGTTCCTTGGTTCTCATCTTCTAAGAGGTATGGGAACCGTTGCTTTATGAAACATTTTCTTTGATAGGCTTGATGGGTTTTCCTCTTTGGAATATTAGATAGACCCAGCTTTGAGAAGTCATCTAGGGAATCTGAGGGTTAGTATTAACACAGCATCATAGAAATGGAAAGGGTCTCAAAAAGTCCTTTAAATAATCCCCCTAATAATAAAAGACCCTTTAGGAGATCCTAGGATACAGTGAAATACGTCAGACATTGGTCTGAGAAGTTCACACACAGCTCAGTATCCGTGTATTTAAGTATTCTACCAATTTATTGAGAAAAGTCAATGAACTTCTCACTGAAAATAATTGTGTGTTTTTGTTTGTACCCATGTGTATTTACCATGCCAATACAGAGTAAATACTAAATTTTAGCCATTGCTGTTATTACTATAGTAGCTTTTTTATTAAGTGTTTTTGTGGAGTTAATGTGATTTCTAATATTTTAATTATTAGAATACTAGAATAATATTAAAGGAACTAAAAGAAATTACCTATGATTCTAAGGTCTTAACATAACCATTTGCATTTCTCTTCCTTTCCAGCTTAAGTATATATTTCTCATTTTAATCAATCTAAGTAAATACGGCAATTAAGCGTTTCTGAGTTCCTTCTAGGTATTAACATAATATTCGGTGCCTGTGAGAGGATACACATGAAATAGATTGTACTACTTTTTGTTTTTTTTTTTTTTCATTGAGATCGAGTCTTACTGTCACTCAGGTTGGAGTGCAGTGGCATAATCTTGGCTTTCTGCAACCTCTGCCTCCCAGGTTCAAGGAACTCTCCTGCTTCAGCCTCCCGGGTAGCTGGAATTACAGGCACACATCACCACGCCCAGATAATTTTTGTGTTTTTAGTAGAGATGGTTTCACCATGTTGTCCAGGCTGGTGTGAAACTCCTGACCTCGGGTGATCTGCCTACCTCAGCCTCCCAAAAGTGCCGGGATTACAAGCGTGAGCCACCACACCCTGTCAGATTGTACTACTTCTTGCTTTAACAAATATCCTTTTAGGTTATTAATACTTGTTGGAACTGTATTAAAACTTATTTGAGTGCATAGTATATTTCAATATTAGTTGATATTGACCCCCCAGATATTCTCAGTGTGGTAGGCAGTCTAGTCACATTAATATATATCATTGCTATTGTAATATTGAATTGCACTGATATAACCACCCATGGTAACAGTGCTGAAGTCACTCTTCTATTTCATATAGAGAACTCCAGAGGAGATTATTGCTTTTATTTGCTCTGAATCAAGGTAGTAAATGAATTGTCTATGTTTAAAATAGCTTAACTTGTGTCTTTTAATATTTGTCAGCAGTCCCTGTGTGATTTTCTTTTGCCAAGATATTTTTATTTTTTAAAATCATATATTTTATGTAGAAAGTTTTAAAAGAAAAGGCCCTGATAATTAATTGAAAAAGAACCTTGCATATGATAAAATGATGAGGATGTGTAGTATATATGTGTATATGTACATGTAAAATAAACTTTGCCTTTATATATGAGTCGTCAAAGAGTTTTAAATATTTCTGGATTTCTTAAAAGCTTTTAAAGAAAAACAAGCTCTCTAGGACATAATAGTTTTCATTAGGGGTAAAATATGTACTGCATTTGCAACATATTTATTATTTCATAGTTACTGTATATTGTCTCAGTGAAATATAAAGTACGTGAGAGGGTAATAGATTTGTTTTACAGCTAAAGAAATTGAGATACACTGTGGTTAAATATCACCCTATTTTATCTCTTAGATAAACTTGATATTAGAGTTCTCCTACGGATTGCCTCTTCTGAATAGGTCTTTGATAGGGTAACCATGTGTTCCCATTTGCCAGGTACAGACAGTCCCAGTTGATACCTATTATCTATTTATCCTAACTGGTTAATTTTTCCATTTATCCTCAAAGTGTTTCAGTTTAACTGATAAATCAGATAGTCATTCTAAGCTATGAGCATAAAGGCATATTGACATGTTGTTTCTGAGAGATTATATAAGATGTTAATTTGGGTCTGGGATCTATTTAGATTAGAATTTTGAAAATTCTTTTTTTTCCCTCATTATGATATATTAATATAACCAACTACAGCAGAGAACATGGTTGTGTTGTAAGCATGTTTTATTCTACTAAAGAGTAATCTGGAGTGAGAGATGATATGAAGTAGTAATGGCTAGTCATAGGTTCTTCACCAGAGAAATATCTCTAATCTTACAGCATTGTGGAGATGTTTCACTTTTTAAATGTGAACTGCTTTGCCCTGAAGGTTAATGTCAAATCTTTACATTTTAAATAGGTTTAAAACATAAACCTATAGTGGATTTAAATCACAAAGTTATAATGGATTTAACTCACAAAGCTAGCCAATTTCTTATTGTAGGCCTATAAGAAAAATTTGGTATCTCACTTTTCATATTAGAGTCCTTAGATTTTCATACATTTCTATTTAATGGTTTTCTATCAACCAAGATGAGAGTGGGTTACTCTCACAATTCTACTCATCTATTTAAAACCAAATATAGTTTAAAAAGGAAAATTACTTCTGGGCATTGCAGGGGGTCAGTTCTAACAGTGTTTTCTGTACCCAGAACATAGTACAATCAGTCACGCTAGCTGATGCTCATCTTTGAAACATCTGAAAATAGTAACCAGATAAAAGTGTGAAATGTAACCTTACAGTGAAAGTTGCACCAGACTACCTCATCTGCTGGAAGTGGAGGGTGGAGGATCTATTTTACATGTCTGGTAGAGATCCTACCTATACTAAAGTTTAAATGGGTGTCTTAGTTTTAATAGTGAGATAAGAAATATAAAATGTAACCTCAAAGTGATGACATCCTACCTCCTTTCTATCAGCAGATTTAACTTGGTAGGTAGAAAAAAAAATGCTGTAGCTGCTCAAAATGAAATTTTATTGTGGAAGAAAAGTCTGTATTCCTTTGATGCATCTTCTCTTACATTTGATTTGGGCATGATATAGTTACCATTCTTTTCTTTGAATTTCTGTTTATTTTTGTTTTCTATTATAGCCACAGTACTGATTTATATAGTTGAAAGTCTTTGGGTGAAAATTACACTGTTTTTCTGTAATTCTTGTGATTCAAATGCTTGGATAACACAGAATGATTGAATTATACTAAACACTATCCAGTTATAAAGTTAAAACTTAAATTACATCATCCCTATCATGGCCCTTCTCACTTGGCACTGAAGGTGACATTTTCTTAATAAAGAATGATACAAAAATGTATTCCTGAAATCTGAGAGAAGGCGTGCTAAGGAAAAAAAATTTGTTACTGGTACATTTTATAGTAGAAGAGATACAGGCTTTGGTGCCAGATAAATTTGGATTTGAATTCATTCTTTGACTTCTACATACATGACCTTCCTGAGACTTAATTATGTTTTCCATGAAATGGGGAAATTTTTTTGAGGAAGTAATGTGTAAAGAACATAACCTTATACATATAGTATTGATGAAAATTATCTTTTTTTGAGAGAGACTTTTAGGGCCAACTGCCATGTTTCAGGGCACAGTCCCTAAGACTGTCTCTACTTCTGACACCAATTGAAAGCTCAGGGTGTTCCCAAAACTATCCTTATCCTTAGGTTTGATAATTTGTTAGAACTCACTGAAAGCTATAATTTTGTTTTCTTAAGGGGAAGGATATAAATTAATATCAGCCAAGAAGAAGGACATAGGCCAGAGTCCGGAAGTGCCAAATGTGGAACTTCTATTGTTTTCGCCTCATGGAGTCAGGCCACATTCATCTCCTGCTATCAGTGTGTGACAGTATGCAAGGAGTGTTGCAAAATAGGTGCCCACTCAAGCCTCAGTGTTCATAGTTTTTATGGGAGTTCCATTATGTAGGCATGGACTATTAAATTCCTCACATAACTGGTTTCAGTTTCCAAGTCACCTGACTTAAAGCCCCCAGCCTGAGTGACATTGTTGGTCTTTTGGGCGTGGCCAGTCCCTAAGCTAAGACAATATGGGTGTGTCCAGCCTTCACTCTCTATCACATTGTTAAATTATCCAATATGACTATAGGCCCCTAGTCAAAGATGCTATTATCAGGCATAACATTCAGAGGGCCCAGAGAGGACCTCCCAAGAAGCTAAGGGCAAAGGCCACATCTTTTCTTTATTTTTTTCTTCTTCTTTTGTTTTTGTTTTCTTTTAGTTTTTGAGATGAAGTCTTACTCTGTCGCCCAGGCTAGAGTGCAGTTGCACAATCTCGGCTCACTGCAATTTCTGCCTCCTGGGTTCAGGCAGTTCTCCTGCCTGAGCCTCTCATGTAGCTGGGATTACACGCATATACCAACCACCACACCCTAATTTTTGTATTTTATTAGAGATGGGGTTTTACCATGTTGACCAGGCTGGTCTCAAACTCCTGACCTCAAGTAATCCACCTTGAGCCACCACACCCAGCAGGCCAGATCTTTTCTTTGGGCAAGGCCAAATTCTTTACTCCACATTTTCTCCCAATAAATCGGTTTTTTTAATTCACTTTATTTCTGTATGTCAAAAAGTCAATAATTTTGCTAAAAATAACTAAATCATTATTAGTAGTCTATTGCTGTGTCACAGAAGTTTACCAGCATCCAAAAAAAAATTTATTATCTAACACTCAATTTCTGAGAGTCAAGTCTTCAGGAAAAGATTAGCTGGGTGATTCTAGCTCAGGGTCTGTCATAAGGTTACAATGAAGCTATCAGACAGGGTTTCAGTATCTGAAGGTTTAACTGGAACTGGAGTATTTGCTTTCGGCTTTACTTTTGTTGGCAGAATCCTTCAGTTTCTCATCATAGGGGCTGTTCGCAATATAGCTGTTTCCAGATCAAGTTAACAGGTCAAAGTATCGTGAAGATGCAAGCTTCAGTCTTGTAACCTATTCTTGGAGGTGACATGCTATCACTCATATTGGTATTGATAGGCTGTTAGTGACCAACCTTAGTACAATATGAGAGGAAACTGTAGAAAGCATAAATTCCAGAAGACAAGGGTCATTGGGGGACATCTTACAGGCTGACTACCGTACTCTATGCTCTTTATTAAGAAAATATTGGCCGGGCATGGTGGCTCATGCCTGTAATCTCAGCACTTTTGGAGGCCGAGGTGGGTGGATCACGAAGGTCAGGAGGTTGAGACCAGCCTGGCCAATATGGTGAAACCCTTTCTCTACTAAAAATAGAAAAATTAGCCAGGCATGGTGATGGGCACCTGTAGTTCCAGCTACTTGGGAGGCTGTGACAGCAGAATTGCTTGAACCTGGAAGGTGGAGGCTGCAGGGAGCCAAGATCTGGCCTCTGCACTCCATCCTGGGCAACGGTAAGACTCCATTCTCAAAAATAAATTTTATTTAGAGATTTACTATAGTTAGCATTTTACATGACTATTGTCTAGCCATTTAAAAGCATGGTGAGTATTCATTATGCTTTATTTAACACTTTTCCATTTTAGTTCATTCCTGTGAGCATCATATTCTTTTTAACAGGGATAAGAACGGTGTAGTGAAAGTCTTTCTTTTACTTTTTAAGGCCTTAGGTTTTGCTGTTTGAGGTCTTATGATTACTTTTTATACCTTTTTTCCCCTCCACATTAGAAACTGGTTATTACCTGCTTATTATTTAAAAATACTTTCTTTGCTTCTGGTTTTGTTCAGTATGCACATGTGCAGAACTTCAGAACTGAGTATTAAGTGAACAAGGTAACCTGGAGAATGTTTTTCAGGCTTTCCTTTTGGAACTGTGGAATTGTTTTAAGTGCCTACCTAGCCTTTGTGAAAGTCCTTTTTAGCTTTCTTCCTTATCACAGAGATCATTCTGGATAGTTGAGGTTGCCAGATAGGTGACCATTAGCAAAATGTGGTAGCACTGTGTAAAGGTTCCTTTATTTTCTGTATAAAATTTTAGTTACTTAGTTTACTAAAGCAGATGGTCTCAGGTTTATTATGTGTGAAATGAAAGAAAAAGCTCCAGTGATTAAAGTGGAAACTAGAGATGAATACTCAGCATTAAAAAAAACAACAACGAAAATACATGTAGATATATGGTGGGGTTTTTTTGTTTGTTTTTTTTTTTTTTTTCTGTTGGATTTTTGTATCTGAAAGCAGAAATTAAATATTTGGTAGAATATCTATATCTTACTGAAGTACCACTGTTACAACTCCTGTTACGGTTTGTATTGGATTGGAATAGCAATACATATTTTTCTGCCAAGTGCATGAACTCTTTACCAAAGCAGTATTAGAAATTCAAGAAATTAAGTTAATGCTGAATGATAGAGAAAAATGTACTGGACACATAATTTCCTATATCCTAATTTTAAATATAGGCATAATCAAGCGCAATAATTTTGATATACAACTATTTTCTCCCTTTCTAGAGAAAAATGGAATCAAATTGGAACTTTGTAGAAGAACTGCTAAAAAAGTCCATCAGCGTTCAGGTATGCAATTGAAGTAAGACATTTTATGGACTTTGCTAAATTTTTATGCCATACATTTTATTTTTAAAAACAAGCAGCCTGTTAAAAATGATTCAGATAACAAATAACTTTTATGCTTTGAAGGGTCACAGTAGTTTCTTTTAGTGATTATTCTTTAAAGATTTTTAACACTGAGTTGTCAGTTAAAGGACAAAGATAATTATCCTAGTTGGTGACTTTGACAAAATGTATTCAAAATAAGTGGTAGATGCTTCAGAACTGTATGCCATTCCTTGACTGTATGATATCAAACTAGGTGACACAATGAGGGAGATAGTCGTTGGCATTGGAAATTCAGCTATATCCTCATCACAGCAGGAAGGTGACTTGCCTTGCTGAGCAATTTGTCTTACAGGCTTGAATCATATTCTAACCGATAAGGTCCTAGTTTCTGAGCATTCATTTCATACCTTATCATTTTTCTTTCTGCAGAGCTGTTAATGTAGTGCTTCATGGCCTAGAGGTCAGACTTGACCTCCTTTTAAAATAGTTTTAAACATGCTGTTCATCACATTTTTAAACATATTGTATGGAAGCCCTATAAATTTTTATAATATGTTATCATTTTTTTAAGAGTTTATGGAGAATTATAATATTTTGGAATTTGGGAAACTTTCTTTTAAGAAATAAAGATTATTTAAAACTTGAGGAATAAAAGGGAAATATTGTAGTATAATACTGCTTTATGGGGGGTGTGTGTGTGTGTGTGTGTGTGTGTATGTAGAGTCGCTATGTCTTTGGAAAACATTTTAATTGCTTGAAATTTTCTTTCGTTTATTATCTGCATTAACTCTTTTTTAGGAAATATAAAGCATTTAGTTATAATATCAGTCATCTAATTATGAACTAAAAATTCTAGCTTAGAATGACAAAGAATTCCACATACATAAATTGTATCAGAAGCAAAAGATCTATTATCTTTTTATCTTTTCTACAATTCCTTTAAAAGGTTTTGTTTTATATTTCGTTTTTGTCCTATATCATACTCATTTCGTTTTGTCCTATATCATACTCATACACTTTTGTCCTATATCATACTCATTTTGTCCTATATCATACTCACTTTTTAAGAACATATTGATTTAATAACTTATGTAAATTTTTTCTTATGTACATTTTTTTATTTCAGAATGAAAGGAATTACTAAAAAGTGGCTGTGGAATGAGATGCATATTACAGTGGTCATTGTCATTTGTATCAGTTATTAGTTCAGTCTTAATGCTTTAACTTGGCATACTTAAAACCAAATGCAAAGAATTTCAGTAAAGTCTGGATAACATTCCATTGACAGTTACTGAATCTGAGTCAGTAACTCAGGGCTTTAATTTTCAATTAAATTGTAACTGCTTGTGTCCTTTAAATTTCTTGCTCCTGGACCCATGTTTCTGTTGTATTTAATAATTTTTAAACTCTGTTTTAGCTCTAACAGTGTATGAATTTATGGTTTTGTGCTCAGCTGGTTTTAAGTTACAGAATACTTTTTAGGAATCTCTAAAGGTTTATGTGGATAAATATATACATATTTACATATTATATAAATATACAAAATATATATGTGAATAAATTTATTCTTTCCTGTTGTTCCTCATTAGGATACATATTTCCTAGGAAGGAATAACAGGAAAATTTGTCATCACCTCTGTTTCATAGAAGAGTTTGCTTTTTGTCTAAGACATTGAAAATCTTCTTTAAACACTTTTATTTTCTTTGAAAATAAATACTTTTTTTCTTTGGATTTTGATTCCCTATAATTTTGATTTTAAATGAAGGAAACTCATATTTACTTGAAAAAATACTTCTTTTTAGTTGGACTGTCTTACTCATAATGTACTAAAACTTATTCTGACAATGCATAGCGTACTTTAAAAATATAACTAGTATTTTAATGGTGGTAGTTAAAGCTGCTTTAAGGATAAATTAGCAATTCTTACTAGATAGGGTGGGTTTTTTTGTTTTTTTTTTTTTTTTTTTTTTAAAAAAGGCAGACAGTAGGTAGGACTAATTGGCAACTCCCACTTGGACAGACAGAGCAGTGTATTGAGACTCACATCATGGACTTTTGCTCCAAGAACCACCACAGGAACATAAGAATTTACAGACCCTTTGAAAGAAGCAGCCTGTTTTTGCAAATTCCATGAGACAGCTGTAAAACTGTAAGTGTCCAAAGTGTGAGAGGGGAAAAGCCTGTCTCCAGACACATATCCTCACTGGGGAACCGGAAAATCCAGATCACAGGAGAAGGATTTAACCTTACCTAGAGCTGAAGCAAATTTAAAGAGCTGAACGAAATATAAAAGTAGAAGCAGCAGTGGGAAGAGCTCTGTGGGCATGCCGGGTTGCCTAGGAAGCCCAGGGAAGCCTTTTATGACTCTCTCACAGGGGTTCTTGGGGAGGGCAGTCAGTGGAATTTGGGAAGGACTACAAGGAGAAGGAGACTTCCAGCTGAACTTTTTAATAATTTCAGCCAAGTGTGAATTTTCCTGGGCAGAATATTGGCAGTGGTGCAAGTGGGGGCAAATGGGAAATGGAGAGGAGCACAGAAGCCACCCAGGCAGGGAGGAGCAAGGCCTGAAAGTCCAGCTTGCTTTCTTAGCTAGGAGGCTTGCAGCCTGGGGCAAGATCTCAGCCCTGCATACCAGAGGCCAGGATACAAATTCAGCTCTGTTGGCTGTTTTGGGGAGCATAGTGGGACTGAGACTGACCTTGCTGGCTGCATGGGAGCTGGGTGAGGCCTATCAATACCACCGCTCCCCCACTTTTCTGAAGACCTATATGAAGTAGCAGAGGCAGCCATAATTCCACTTGTAACATAACTTCGTTGCCCTGAGAACTGCCCCCTGCCCATACCCCACAGTGGTTGCATCAAGCCCTGCCCAAGGAGAGTCTGAGCTCAGACATGCCCAGCCATTCTTCCACCTTATGATGTTTATATTAGGGTTCTCTAGAGGGACAGAACTAATATGGATGGAATGGATGAATGGATGGATGGATCGGAATTTATTAAGGAGTGTTAACTCACATCATAAGGTTCCACAGTAGGCCACCTGCAAGCTGAGGAGCAAGGAAGCCAGTACAAGTCCCAAAGCTGAAGAACTTAGTGTCCAATGTTTGAGGACAGGAAGCACCCAGCATGGGAGAAAGATGTAGGGTGGAAGACTAAGCTAGTCTAGTTTTTTCACATTCTTCTGCCTGCTTTTTATTCTGGCTGAGCTGACAGCTGATTAGATTGTGCCCACTCAAATTAAGGATAGGTCTGCCTTTCCCAGCCCACTGACTCAAATATTAATCTCCTTTGGCAACACCCTCAGATACAACCAAGATCAATACTTCCTCCTTCGATCCAATCAAATTGGCAGTCATTATTAATCATCACAGTCTTTCTCTACCCACCTGGTAGCCAAAGACAGAAAATGTAGATTCATGGGAGCTCCATGGCTCCATCTATCACCTGAGAAACCTGAATACTTATGCAGGTGATTTCAGGGCAAGCTTATAGACCCAAAAAAAGTTCAGAACTAGACAGACTCACAGGTGAATTCTATCAGACATTCAAAGAAGAATTGGTACCAATCCTACTTAAACTATTTTGAAAAATAGAGGAAAAGAGAATCCTCTCTAAGCTCTCCTTTGAAGCCAGTATTACCCTAATATCAAAACCAGGGAAAGGCACAGCAAAAGTAGAAAACTACAGACCAAGATCCCTGATGAACTTACATGCAGAAGTCCTCAACAAAATACTCATGAACTGAATCCAGCAACATATCCAGAAAATAATCTATCATAATCAAGTAGGTTTCATACCAGGGATGCAGGGATGGTTTAACATACACAAATCAATAAATGTGATACATAAACAGAATTAAACACAAAAATTATTTGATTATCTCAATAGACATAAACAGAATTAAACACAAAAATTATTTGATCATCTCAATAGACACAGAATAAGCATTTGACAAAATCCAGTGTCCCTTTATGATTAAAATCCTCAGCAAAATCGGCATAGAAAGGACAGGTCTTAAGGTAATAAAACTATGACAGACTCACAGCCAGTATTATGCTGAATGGGGAGAAAAGTTGGAAGCATTCCCCCTGAGAACTGGAACAAGACAAAGATGCCCACTTTTGCCACTTCTATTCAACCTAGCACTAGAAGTCCAAGCCAGAGCAATCAGATAAGAGAAGGAAGTAAAGGGCATCCAAATGGATAAGGAGGAAGTCAGACTGTCGCTGTTTGCAGGTGATATAATCCTGTACCTAGAAGACCCTAAAGACTCATCCAAAGAAACTCCTAAATCTGGTAAATGAATTTATTGGTAAAGTTTCAGGATACAAAATCAATGTACATGAATCAGTAGTACTGCTATACACCAACAGTGACGAAGCTGAGAATCAAATCAAGAACTCAGCCCCTTTTACAATAGTCACAAAAAAATAAATACTTACAGAGTATACCTAGCCAAGGTGGTAAAGGACCTCTCTAAGGAAAAGTACAAAACAGTGCTGAACAACAAATCATAGATGACACAGACAACTAAAAATACATCCCATCCTCATGAATGAGTAGAATCAGTATTGTGAAAACGACCATAGTGCCAAAAGCATTCTACAAATTCATTGCAATTCCCCTCAAAATACTGTCATCATTCTTCACTAAGAAACAATTCTAAAACATATGGAACTGAAAAAGAGCCTGCATAGCCAATGCAAGGCTAAGCAAAAGAACAAATGTGGAGGCATCTCATTACCCAACTTCAAACTATACTATGAGGCTATAGTCACCAAAACAGCACAGATATAAAAATAGGCATGTAGACCAATGGAACAGAATGGAGAACCCAGAAATAAAGCCAAATACTTAGAGCCAACTGATCTTCAACAAAGCAAACAAAAACATATAGTGGGGAAAGGACACCCTATTCAACAAACAGTGCTGGGATAATTGGCAAGTCACATGTAGG